CACTTTTATTACAAATTTAGTTAATTATTACAATTATTAAGAATTATTTACACAAATTTAATATCGAACGGTGTATGAAAATTCTTTAGCATAAATTCTATTTTGGTAAAGCATACATTTTTATACGAACTGTAAGTCCATTACATTAAGAAAAAATACTAAAACTATTCAGTACATACATCGGGAAATGGAAATATTATGTCGATGCGATGTTGTCACAGCATCCGAAATATTGCAACGTTGCTCCTTGCCTGAGTAACGCATCGATAGTATAAAGTATCCTATTCTGTCGTCTTGTTCAACTATGCTGTCAGAAAACAGGAAGCACGCATAAACGCGGACACTATTCTGTAATTATTTCTGCACTTCAATACTCCGTACTCCATTTTACGAATATTCGCATTTCTGATAGAAGGTAATAATAATTAAATAGATAATATAAGATTAAATCACAGTATCAAGTGTGCACAATACAACAATCGTGTATAATAGAATAATAATTACATATCAAATTATAAAAGACAAATATATCACAGAAGGAAAATCGTAATTCACAGCATCTGATCACAAATATGCGGATATAAAATTCCTCGAAAATGTTTCTTTACCTATAAACGCACAAATAAAATATCACAGCGATCTTTTAATTGACAAAGTATATTGACAATGTATACAGACATGGGTTATAGTCGTAAAAATAAAGTAAAAATTAAACACGAGATTAAACACTGCAATAAACAATATACAACTGCACTATAGCACTGTGGAAACGCGACTACTGAGAAACGCTGCGTGATACAGCCTAAACATAATGTGCGCTCCCGCCTGTTCGCCGGTCTGACCAGTTATGTTCGTCCGTCGAGCCGTCATCTCATACGTACGCTTGGTTCTTTCAATCCCCTCCACTAGGACTACATCTCGCTAATACGCCCTCGCACTGGCTGAAACACACGTCGGCACGGCGTATTCCAGGAGCGTAACTAGTGGAATCACTGTGAGGGCGCTCTGTTCTTCGATTCTGAGGCAGGTGCTACTCTCTATACACGATGCTTAATATGACTGTGCAAGTCAGTACAAGATCCTACGAAATAAAACAATGCTGCAGCTAACTTTAAACATACATCGACAAGTTTATGTATACATACTGGGTATGTACTTGTATTATTCATGACAAATTCGATACTTTATCGTTGTGTAACTATATTTTTTTGAGAAATTAAATGTTTTTATAATATTTTTAATATGCAGTATATAGTATTAAATTTTTTATTATTTTCATTAAATGATCGTGTATAGGGTCTTTTTGGAAAGCTAATAACCTATATTTATTATAAAAATAGTAATTGAAAAATAAAAAATAGGAATGAAAGAAAGAATAAATAAATAATATATATATATAATACTTTTATGTATAAGTACGTTATAATGAACACAAAATCTATATTGTAATAATTACAATAACGTATATACACTATAATACGTACTTTTGGTTCATGTTAGTAGCTTTAAAAAGTAGACATTCAAATATATCATTCCAAAAATAGTTTTATTCTATATTCGTTACATACACAGTGGACATGAAATATTTTAAATGTATATCTTATTTCGTTAATAGATAAAATTTAACGACCAATATTGTCATGTATTTGACTGTACGACACAACGTCACAAGGCAAATTACTGATCACGTATAGGGTACAGCACACCCTTTGCACACCGTAGTGGCACAGCTACACTTCGCCACATCGATTTTACCGGCTCGCTTGCACTCACACTCGGTCGACCCGTTCACTGAAGGAATGTCTCATATGCCTCCCTCCGACTCCCTTTTCCTCCCCTTTGCCTCTCCTGACCCTACCCCTACAAAACCTCTCCGTCACTCAGTTAGCTCTCTTTCTAACTTGTCCTCCATCCCTCTCCACCAAGCTTGCCAACTTCTGCTTGCCCTCTCCTCCTCCTCTCTGCTTCCTCTCGCAGGTCTCTCGATCTCTCTTGGTTTCTCTCTCACACTCTCACAATTTCTCTCTTTCTCTCTTCTCTGTCTGTTGTGATCGCTGGGCAGTAGCGCCGTCGCGGGGAGGTGGAGGTTGCACCTTTTGCCGCATCTCGGAATCTCGCGCGTTGCTCATTTGCCGTACATAGGAGAGGAGAAGAGAGGCAAGGAAAGAGGGAGTGCGAGAGCAACCAAGAAAGAGAGAAAGAGAAACCTCCGCTAGGTAGTAGTATGCGAACAGTACGGTGGTCGGACAGTTCCAGTTCCGTTTCGATTAGGCGAGACTACGCCGGGGTTTTTGGCTCGCTTGTGGCCCGTGAAACGTACGCGTAATGCCGTTTATCGTGGCCATTGATGGCACTCGGTGCTGCTGGTGCTGTTGCTGTTTACCCGGCGCGCTAACTGCACGCCGCTTTTACAAGTGGAACTGCATAGTTGAAGAAGATACGAAGTGAACCAACTTCGTGAGTGTTCAAAAGGATAGCTTACGTGTGGCGTTTGGATCGTTCAATACAACTTCATGATTATGGTCATAGAAGGGTCAAGTCGTGAGGAATAGAGGAGTGTACTGTAAAATCCGCATGTCCCGATTCACTGGGTTCGTATATGTTACTACTTCCCATGTAACCTCCTTGCTTACGCACACTCACGCAAGCGCACATAGCAAAGCTAACTTAAAGGCAAATCGCTGCCGGAGAAACGATTCCCCGGCCCTCTAGCCCAGTTCCGGGCACAGACATTGATCCATCGATAAGGAAGTTCCCTATCCTTTGTTGGATTGCTGGCATGTTCAGTAAAATGCAAGAAAGTGAAACGAATCACCCGTAAGCCATAAAATCCTTGCCTTCGTAATTCATTATTATTCGGAGTTAAATACATTAGTTTTCTATATTGCAATAACCATAGATTTCATATTTGTAACCTATGATTTATGATGTGACTGATTTAAATTGAATTTTCATTCTTCATCTCAATTCTACCTCTTGGCATTTGTGACGGAGTAAAGAAGATTGTGCGTAATGAACGTTACGATAAATTTTTGTACGTTCGTTGTTATCCTTCAAGCTATCTATCTACTAGTCTATAATCTCGTTTAGAAAATTATTCTCACTGAAATATTACCGTTCTATGAATATTAGGTTATTTTTTGTTTAATTTCATACATTTCGTGGCATTTAAGTAAAATTTAAATGTAAGTTTTAGTTATCGTAAGGATTATTTCTTTAAATTATATTTGTCCGAATTCCATTTAATAGTTAGTCAATATTGTGATACTTTAATGGTATTGTTCTAAATTATCTCAACCAGAAACATAATTTAATATATTTCAATTATACTAAATATCTTAAAATTTCACTATTATTACTTTCTTTATGTTTTCGGTATGTCTTTTTTGTGTGGATTAAATTTAATGACTTTAATAAAGAGAATAGTAATACATTATATTATCCATATAGTAACATGTAAATATACAAGTAGAACACAGTTCTGTTATCAAATATACTACAATTTTGTGTTATTGAAACTTACGTGATATTGTTTATTATGATAACTTTATATTTCCAATTGGTCTGTTATATTACAAATAGTTTATGTCCGAACTTGAACCATCACAAACTGTGTAAAATTATCGCGAGTTTAGTGAATAATTTATAAACATTAATACAATTAAAGATTCAAATAAGTGAACGAAGTAAAAACTCGCGGAAAGAATGAAGATGACAGAAATGCAATATTATAAACGATTCATTTGTATTTACGATGCTCTCTAGTAGCGATACTTTTAATCATAATAGCGTGTGCACGTCAGTGACAGAGCGTGGAATTCGAACGTGTGCGTTCCGCCTGGCAAACGCGCAAACGCGTGACCGCGTCCATGAGAACTTACCATTAATCCGGGTTCTTAACCGCGCGCGGAGTAAACGTGGCTGACACGCCGCCGATGATAATAATAAGAGTGCGTAATTTATCGGAGAATCGACGTCACAAATCGGATGACGTAGTGTGTCGTCGTGGTTATCGTTGTTGTTCATTGAAGGTAGTTTGCCTAGCGGCTGCATTTGGTGCGTATGTAGAAAAGTATGTACGATAGGAAAGCCAGTTAACTATCCGACCTGACCAGAGTTCAGATGTGAAACAGTGAGTAAAACTGCCCCCTTGCGGAGCGCGTCCGTGGTTCCCAATCTAACCACTCCTCTGCCATCGAGTTCTTACCTCCTACCCCCCTTCTCTATCTCCCATTCTCTCTGTTTCTCTACTTCCACCCCCTCTCCATTTTCCGTCGCCTTCCCTCTTACCTCTTCTATAGCTCCGTAACTCCCTGCCCTTCCGTCGTTCCCCTCTGTTAGGGTCCTCCATTTTGTCGTGATTCCTCTAGCTCTAAACATATATTGCACATTTTGTTCATACTGTGCTATTGACATTTACATACAAATTGTGCGCGAAACCGTGCCTATGGTTGACATACTGTCTATTAGCTCAAATAGCAAATACGACTATGGGGCTCCACCATAGGCTATCCTGGAAGGTGTCACTTCTCTCTCTTTCTCTCCTGTACTGTCTTTTTCATTCTCATTCTTTCTCTTTTCATTTCCCATTAAACCTACTTCTTTCTCCCTTGCACGTTCTTTGTTTTTCTTTTTTTCTTATTATTCTTTCTCTATCCTAAGTTTCCTTCTATATAATAAATTGTGTCTTAATAACATGCGATTTTTATTAGCTAGTATTTTGTACGCCGGTATGATTTTCGAAGTGTAACCTCTACTAAAAGTAACGAATCTTGATTCGCGTTGCGATATTTTTCTCCATGTTGTTTCTTCTAGCAAGCTTATATTCAATTTTTCGATATAAATAATTGTACGACATAATAATTTTTACTTTGTATTGTAATATCTTGATAAGTGTTAGTCTAATTTAGTATCATGATGATCTTTTCCGGATTTTGTTAAAATATTTGCAAATAAGTACATTTCAAGTATTATTTTATATCAATCTTTTTTTATTTCAGATGTCTGCTGGGTCACAAATTCAGATGGCACCTCAATCAACTGTAAACTCTGGTCAGTCAGTTCATAGTCAAGACTCGAACATGAGCACTGGTAAGTCAGTATATTTCCATTTTATTTAATGACAAAAGACAAACTCTCATTTGACAATTAATTTAAGAGTTGTTAAAACATTATTTTATAATTGTGATTATCTTGACATAACTATAGGCTCATCACATAGTGATAAGGAGGTAGACCCAAATACTCCAGAAAAGGTACCAAGAACTCCTTCGGAAAGAAAAAGAAAACGTAAAGCTGATGATGGAGGTGGAGGAGTTACCGGAGGACCTATAGGAAGTAAGGGGTCTAGATCTGTTGCTGCTCTTGAAAATAAAAAAATAAATGAGTATTTTCCAAAGCACCATTTGGGTAATAGTCCCATTCGGCATGGGGGTGCTAAAAGTCCCTCACCTCAACAGGGATATCCTATGGTAAATATAAAAAGTATACACATGCACATGCACACAAAGTACTTTTATCATATATGTAACATATAATTTTTCATTTTCATACTATAATTATGGCGTTTAACTGTTTCCTTTACATCCATTTTGATATTTTGTATAATTATTTTTCAACAGTATCCACCATCGCCTCAACAACTCCTTTCACCGCAAGTAACAACACCCAATTCTTCAGTGGCAGAATTTTCTTCACTGATGCAGCCGCCAAGACCTCATCCCCAACCTCCACCTCCTCCTCCACCAGCCTCAACACAACCTGCAGGCTCGATGGTCAGCAAGCAGGTGCAGGTAAGGCCTACCAACCTCAGTAGGACAAGCCAGGTCAGGCAAGCGAAGACTAACACCCCAAATGTAAGCAAAATTCGGTAATTCCTGCAAGCATTTGATTAGAAACGACCCATAAAAATTCAATTTTGACTGTAAATATGATTTTATGCTTACATTTTTTAAATTTCTTCAAATATAGCAAAATGAACTATATAGAACAAATTGAATACAAAATTTAATTTATTATAATATTGTATATTATAAAACAATGCAATCTATTGTATAATAATTTAAAAGTATGATAATCTATCTGTAAAAAATGTTATATTTAAAAGATATAGATTTTCAAAATTAATTTACTTCTTTAAATACTGGCTCTTTGTGATGTTTCTTTTCATTATTAGAAAATACATGATTTGTAAATATTATGTACCAATTTTATCTTTCATTTAATATTTTTCTTATTGCAACTTTTATATAAGAAAATATATTTTATAATAATTTATATACTTTCGTACATTTTAATTTCTCGAAAGTAGTTTTATAATGGGCATTTCTTATCAGATGTTTGCAGTAAATTTGCAGCTAACTTCTGATTGGACTGTAGCACTGTATTCATTTGTTATCATAGGAGTGCAGGCTACCTTGTAATGTCACTCCTTATTTTAAAAATTTTATTTTGCTTTTAAGTTATTAAAATGGTTTTATTTCTATTTATTTTAACTTCTAAATTAAAAATAGGTATGCATGTTTGCCATTTTTTGACTTGTATTTGGCTATAGTATTATGTCTCAAAACTGATTAAATTTAAAGAAATTTGTTTCCTAATACACAAAATATTATCTGTTCTAGAGAAGAAAAATGTATATCAAGTATACAGTGTTGTACAATTTTTTATACATACATGCATACCTTGAATCATGCATACATTTTTGGTGTTTTCCTTGCTGCCTGTGTGGTAGTTCTGTTTTATCTATATGTTTGGGTTTTGCTCTGTAGTTTTACTTTTAATAGCAAGAAGGTTAGCCTATTAAATTAAATAACATGTAGAACTGATTTTATTACAATTATTTCTCAAGGATAAAACCTTGATCAACTTCCTAAATGAAATTATTAAAATGTTGCACTAAAACTTAATCTGCATGTTATGTTTGAGTGCAACAAGGTATCTGGTATTTATGAACTATGTTGACAAATGTATCAGATGTTACAGTAGTTTGTTTATATTTATTATAAAATGTATCATTTACATTTCAGACAGAACTTACTTGCCAGAGGATACAAGAATTTGAAACCCAAGCCTCTTCAGATTTAGAATTACGTAACAACAAAATTGATGAATTAAATAGAGTAAGTATAGTATTTTGTAAACTAAGTTCCTATAAATGTTCTATGGATATTTAATTATACATTAGTGATAAAATTGGAAAGTAGTGTTTAGTTTTCTTATTCTTTTTTTTCCTCCCCACAAAAGAACATATCTAAAAATTATTGTATGTCTCTAATTAAATGTTTATTATTATTATTTTGTATAATAAATTATATTTCTGCTTAAATTTTCGTACAATTACTAATACGACTGTTTGTATTTTCTTTTTCAGACAACTGATGAACTTAGGCATCAAATGGCTAATCAACAAAAACTAATTGAACAGCACAAATCTCATATAAATAAGTGTATAGACGTTGTAAAGAAGCTACTAAAAGAAAAATCAAACATAGAAAAAAAGGAGGCTAGGCAAAAGTGTATGCAAAACAGACTGAGGTTGGGTCAATTTGTAACTCAAAGGGTGGGAGCAACATTTCAAGAAAATTGGACAGATGGTTATGCGTTTCAAGAATTAGGACGGCGGCAAGAAGAAATCTCAGCCGAACGAGATGAAATTGATAAACAAAAAAAGCTATTACTCAAAAAGAGGCCATCGAACAGTGAAACTGGTAGAAAACGTAGTCAGCCTCAACCTTCTTTGCATAATGGCACAGAAGCTACGTTCTTAAAACCAGATGCAGTACCTGGATCTTATACGTGGCAGGAGTATTATGAAGCTGATGAAATACTCAAGGTATTGGATATTTCAAATTTCAGTTTGATAATCGCTTAATAATTTATAGTGTTTTAGAAATTTTTATTATAAACATTACTTTAACACTTGGTCATATATATGCTTCATTTTCAGTTAAGACAAAGTGCGTTGAAAAAAGAAGACGCTGATCTGCAACTAGAAATGGAAAAACTCGAAAGAGAACGAAACTTGCACATCAGAGAACTGAAACGTATTCACAACGAGGACCAATCGAGATTTAATTCTCATCCTGTATTGAATGAACGTTACCTTCTACTAATGTTATTAGGGAAAGGTGGCTTCAGTGAAGTGCATAAGGTACGAAATGTATTTATTAATCTCAATTTTTTTTGCTAGTAGTAAACAATTAATTAATTACATTTTAAGTAATTCGCTTTTTATAGGCATTTGACTTAAAAGAGCAACGATATGTCGCTTGTAAAGTGCATCAACTGAATAAAGACTGGAAAGAGGATAAAAAAGCTAATTATATTAAGTAAGTATATCCATAATAACATTTTTTTCTATCTTTAAAGTAATCACAAATAGTTATAGTTTCACAATAAAATACATATTTAAAATAATGTTAACTGTGTGCACATTTGTGGCATTAATTCCTTTTGGTACAAGGATATATATACACACATGTATGTTTATATACAAGTAATATATATATATATATATTTTCTTTTTCTTTATGCAGGCATGCGTTACGAGAATACAATATACATAAAGCTCTTGATCATCCTCGTGTTGTGAAATTGTATGATGTGTTTGAAATTGACGCCAATTCTTTTTGTACTGTCTTGGAATATTGTGATGGCCACGATTTAGATTTTTACCTTAAGCAAGTACGCATATTAGCATATTTTTTTCGCATAACACGTAATATGTGTTACAGTAATTATATGTTTTATTAAATACTTTCAGCATAAGACTATACCTGAAAGAGAAGCAAGATCTATTGTTATGCAAGTTGTATCTGCATTAAAGTACCTCAATGAAATAAAACCCCCTGTCATACATTATGATTTAAAGCCAGGTAAATCTCTATTGCATATAAATTTTTAGTCCAATTTTATAAAATAAAAGGGCGTAAAATTGTTAATTATGATCCTACTAATACGATAACTTTGCAGGTAATATATTATTAACTGAAGGTAATGTTTGTGGAGAAATAAAGATTACTGACTTTGGGTTAAGTAAAGTAATGGATGAAGAAAATTATAATCCAGACCATGGAATGGATTTAACATCTCAAGGAGCTGGTACCTATTGGTATGTACATCTTCATTGCAACAATGTTCTTTATAGTATTAAAAATACTTCTATATTTTTCTTCGTTATAATTTATAATAATAATGTATATAATAATGCATATTTTATGTAATTTAGGTATCTTCCACCAGAGTGTTTTGTTATTGGTAAAAATCCTCCAAAAATATCATCTAAAGTTGATGTTTGGAGTGTAGGAGTTATATTTTATCAATGTCTATATGGCAAAAAGGTATAACTGACTGTTAAACTAATTGTTCTAACATTTTTGATTTCTGTGCGAGATTCACCTGATACAACTTACATTATAAAAACTACGTTTTTAGCCTTTTGGACATAATCAATCTCAAGCTACAATTTTAGAAGAGAATACAATTTTGAAAGCTACTGAAGTTCAATTTGCAAATAAACCAACTGTTAGCAACGAAGCAAAGGTACTATTTTAATATCAACTGATCTAAATTCGAAAAATCTATTTAACTGACAGCATGAAACTAAAATTCGTAAATTTTTTTATTGTTACAGAGTTTCATAAGAAGTTGCCTAGCATATAGGAAAGAAGAACGCATAGATGTGTTGACATTAGCTAGACACGAATATCTACAACCTCCAGTGCCAAAACATGGCCGTCAAGCGAATAATCAGCAGCAGCAGCAACAGCAACAACAGATTCAACAACAGCAACAAACCTCATTTAGTATTGGCATGTTTAGTGGTATGAACGCGTCAAGCAGTTCGTAGTGGAAAAGGACTAAAGACAAAATCTTCAATATACTAATACATGCCAAATCTTGAACATTGAATTGCACACCATCTCATCTTAGGAACATAGCGATTGCTATAACGAATTGTAAATACTAAAAATCGGATAATATCACCATCACCAACGCCACGATTACCACTACCACTACCACTACCGCCATCACTACCACTTCCACCACACCTTTACAACTATACTTACAGGCCGACTACATAGGACATTGCAAGAGAGATGCGAGACTGGTCGCCGCAAGTCCAGGAGCTTGCGTCTTTCTACAATACAAGCTACATTATTCAGCATGACAAAAATGTTGTGTTCGTAAATATTCAATTGTATTATCGTTCCTTGTATCAAACAGTGGGCTGACTTGATAATAGTGTTTAAAAAGTAATGAGAGAAACAGATAAACATGTGATAAGTCATTGTGAATTAAAGTGAAGTTCAAATTAAGAAGAAAAGAAAACAAAGGAGTAGAGCGACGGAAATCATTGCAAGTGAAAATTACTCGGTGAATAAAGAGAGCAACGGAAGATAAAATATCCGAGGCAAAGCGCGTCAAAGCAGTGTAGAGGGACTTTGCTTTTACGGAGACGTTCCTCTCTTCTGAAGTTACGTATGCATGAATGAGTGTGACGAAAGATTGTTAAAACTAGTGTGCGTGTATATATTTATACTATATATATATATATACTAATAAATCCGATATAATATATATATATGGTGTAAAGAACAGGACAGCATTGACAGTGGAAAGACAACTGTGGTGGATCCTCGCATGACCTCCGTGCAGCCAAGTATTCCATGAATATTTGACTGCACATCATGTTACTTTATTCAAATATTAACATTATTACTTATATCATGACTAATAACGATTAACATACACACACGAGGAGATTTGGTTGGTTGTTCCTATTCTGAAATGAGTGGGCTTTATCTACACCGGATTGATTGGTCTAAGGTTCGAATGCAAAGAAAGTAAAAGAATCGCGATGCTCCCAAATAAAAAAGAACATATAGAATCGTAGTCCACGGTTTATATGCTCCATGCACATGTACATTTTTAATCCATAATTTTCTAATAGAATGACTCATTTTTTTCAAGAGTGGACTTCGGCGCGATAATTATGATCTTACATTTTCGTGATATATAACAATTCGTATAATCAGGCATTAAAAAGTTTTTAAAGTAAGATTCATGATACTGTACTGACCTGGTTGCTATTTCTTTATTCATAATTTGTTTTATATATGTACGTTATATATAGATAATTATGAAATAGAAGATTAAGTTATTTTATCAAGTGCCCTTGCTTTGTATTATAGTCGCGTCTGTCGACAACCTGCAGCTTTTGGGAGTACTAGAAAGTTGTTAAAATGTTGTAAGTTGTTGGTACAATGTGGGCACGGTATTGATGATTCAATACCAACGTGATTGGCAAAGAATGGTCAGAGGAGAATACATTACAAGTCTGAACAGAGTCTACTACTAGATCCATCGCTTCTATTCTAAAAGCCAACCGTTCCTGCTTCCCTCTCCTATTTCTCTTGCGGTTTTTCAAATTTATTAAACAAAAGAGCGAATACTTTTAAAATTCCTCTACGAGGAAGTGCTTTTTGTAAACTAAGTTGGAAGACAAACTAGTCAGAAAATGAATAAATTCATTTAATTTTTTTCCGAGGACATGTATGCATAATTGTCAAAATTGAAAGGTTTCAATTTTTAGATATATTTATAATCATCATTTTCGTATATTTGAAAAATTAATTGTAATCAAGCAAAAATTCCCCAATTTCGAAATTTTGCTTGAACACAATCGTTAAATTGCGATTAGTTTTATGATATTCTCTTATATTTATTGTAGTTTAAAATGACAATTGGTGCATACTATTCTTGGGCAAAAAAATAGCATACTTTGGCCAGTAAAATTTACGAAAAACACTTTTTTTAAATAAAAAGAATATCGTTTTGCTACCACAATAAATTGCTACCACAAAAAGATTAAATCATTAAAGATCAAACTGGTGAAAGAACAAAAAAAAAAAATCATTTAACGAGCATTTATTCTATTAAATCTCATTTGGGATTATTTGTAATGATAAAAGAAGAAACGAATCTACACCAAGCAGTGTTTATATGTTTTGCGATAGAAGCAATTTTGCATTTGTACATAGTGAAGGCTCCTTAAAAATGCATCGTTAATAAAACTATTAAATGCATGTATCAAAAAGAAATTTTTATCCAAGAAATAAGATTTTTTTCATAAAAAATTCATTGCACAAATTCCGAATATTGCCTGATCAGATATATTCTTTTAAAATTACGGGACTATTTCAAGAAATAATGCATTACATAATAATATTTTCAGCTCTACGTGCTTTTATAATTATGCATACTGGAGTTCGAAGTATTATTATGCATTTTAAAAGAAGAGGAATTCAGATAATTCTTTAACAAACAAGAAGTTTTTTTTTTTATCGCCCTTGCGTGTCAGCATAGTCACGATCTTCCTCACAAACAACAGGAATTGCGTCGAGGATGGTGTATGAAACGTTATAGCAATAAATTTACGTATTTGTGTATAATTTAAAGTTAGTAAACTTATTAATTAAATATGAATCACATATAACAGTGTATATTTCTCCTACAATACATATGTCTGCACATAAATTTTTTTTCTTTTAGTAGGTAAATGTTTGAATAGAAACATAATACAAAATGGACAATTATAAAATATTATTTTCATTCAATTTCATTACAATATTTGTATATAAATGACAAAACATCAATTTTTACTTAACAATACTTGTAGTATAAAATTATAATATTACGTTATAGAGTAAATTGTATAAATTTAAAAATGTATATACATATACATATACATATCAGATTACCCACATAATTAAAAAATTGTAATCATTCTGGTCTCACAATTTATAGATCTCAGAGGCTGATAGAGGGATTACTGGGTTTTGAGGAGTCAAAAGAAAATTTGTTTCTTTCCGTTAATTAATAGTTTCAATTGTACAGAATAATCTAAAAAAGTTATTAAACAATTTTTTAAATTAAATTATGAATTTGTATAAAATACAACATATTATACTGTCACGTTTTGCGTAGTCACTAATAATACATTTTTCAATCTTGCAGTGCAGAAAACAAAAATTCATTAACTCTAATTGAGCTAAACCTTTGTGGAAATATTTATATATAATTTTGTTATAGCATGAACTGCAATCATATCTTTATCTTCATTATTTTTTTCTTTTTTTATTTTTTAACATTATTTCTTTAAGTTTTAAATTCCTGCCATTTCTATTATACTAATTTTTTAATTTTTGTAATTTATATCATTAAAGATTATATATAAATTATAATAAATACATATTCTCATTTCTTTTTTCAAAATTATTTTTATGTGATTTAACATTTTATAGATATGACAAATATTTTCGTACACTATAAAACTATCTTAACAAATACAGAAGTCACATCTAATTACCTGTGATTATTTTATTGAAAGAAATTTTTAAACAGTGTTAAATTTCCAGCTCGTTAAATCTAGCAACCCTTTTGTACATATATTATACACATAATATACGATAAGAATTATATATATATAAAACAATTTATGGATAGATTGTGTGTATATATATATATTACATTCTATATCGATTTTACGTATTCTCCATAAGGAGTAAAATAACAAGTGGCATAAAAATTTTCAATGAAAATGTTAGAAATGTTATTTTCGTAGTCTATAATTTGATTGGATAGTATGTATCGGAAGAAAGTAGAACCTATTAACTACTAATGCATAAATATTAATTCATTTTAGAAAGAACATTATCTCTAAAGTGGGACAAAATTTTGGGAATTAATATGGCACTTTTATTCTGTCTTATTCTTCACTGTGTGTAGCTTCTTGAAATTAATTAAAAAAAAGTTAATTATCGAAAAAGTCAATTAATAAAAGATTCGAGAGATTGGGTAGGACTTTTCTGTCCTATCCATTTATTTCCAAATTTTTGTTTCATTAAAATATAAATATTTCTAATTTTTGAAAAGATAATTTTAAACAAAAATAATTTAAATAAAGTCTGCTTATTTTCTGACGTACTTTCTAATAAAAAAATTTTTTAATTGATTTCGTTTTATTCTATACGATAAATAATTGGCGCTTTAGTACTCTTGACAACCTATAAAATTCCAAGGTAAAACGATTAAAATCGATTGCATAATTTTCGAAATATTGCATTATTTCTGCTCACATGAATCACGTATATATAGAAGAATATATAAAGAATCTTTGTCATATCACATTATTCTTAAAAAAAAAAAAAAAAAAAAAAAAAAAACAAGTAGCTTTTATATTTACATGAAATAATTGTTACTCTATTGAAAATGAATATACAATGTGCTCAATCAGAAAATTAAAATGATTTGAATATTTGAAGAATCATTTTGAGAAATAAAATATTACAAATTATGTGAGCCTTGTACGATAAAATTTTCAAGCAGTTTTCTAATTTCTCGTTGAAAGGATTTTGATGTGACTGATTTCGATGATCGGTTACATATATAAGTCATTCTGTTATCTGTGTATAGAGTTTAAACGTGTTCAGTATTATATGAAATACCGAACAAGAGGCATATCTTACCTTTATTGTTTGATTCGTTAAAATATCTATTTTCATTAAAATTTTATTCGCAGAATATAGGTCATCGATGATATGAATGTATTAATGAATACAATTAGTTTTACATGTATGGTAAGTACATTATTTATTAATGATATGTCAGACAGATGTATATAAAGAATACATTTCATTACAAAATTAATTTAATATACAAAAAGAAGATAATGTGAAGTTTAAATTAACTAATATAACGCATCTATATAATTAAATTAATATTCTATTCGTTATAAATGCAAAAACTTCATTATAGTGACAGTTTTGTAAATTTATACAATTTTTTTAATTATTAAAGATACAAAGAACATCAATTGTTCTTATCCTCAGTATCAATACTATTAATAAAAGCTACGTGACCATTAGTTAATACATTTAAAATACACGAATACGTATTTTTTTTCTGAAGATGAAGTGAACTTTCCATTCTTTACATTATGATTATAATAACAAACATTTTTCTTAATTAATATCAAGTTTCACGAGAGATTATATTTTTATATTCTTCTTTTTTTCAATAATCTAAAAAAACTGTATAAGTTGGTATTTCGACACGTAATCGTCACGTAATCGTGGATCACCAGTATTTCGCGTTTTTCACTTATCCATTTAATTTTGCACGACAGAGTTTTATAATCGCTTCTCGTATTCTTGGAAATCAAAACGATATCTTATTCAAATCTCATACAAAGTTGTTCCTTACTCTAGCGGATATCTACTTGTATCTTTCTTTTGAGGCGTTTGGGTCCTATGATTCTCTTTGTACCTTAGAATTTCATGCCCTCGCATCAACGTGCAGACCTTCCTGAAGTGAGAATAAAAGTGTGCCACGAATTAATAGGAGAGAAATATCTTGGAAAATCTTTGGTATGCGAAGGAAGATACGGGATGAGTTATTATACACAACATAGAGATAGGGGGTTAAGCGTGTGGACATGTCTAATGATGTATAGGACGTACAGAGTCTTCCTTAGAAGGCTAAACGAATGATGTGCGTGTGTATCCTTGTTAGCTCTGTTAAAACATTCAGGTACCGAGTATTTCGAGGATTTTCCCGTTGATTGCTAGAAATTCCATCTTGATATCCTCATAAAATTATTATAGGACACCATGACATGATTTTAACTTGTAACTACTGACGCGCTGTCTGAATCTACGCTGAATCTACGTGATTGACATCTTTTTACTCGTATAATCTATTTCTATATGACAATTAACGTGATAGTAATTTTCTAAATACGTAATAGTAGTACTTTCCAATCTCCAATTAATACTCAAATAAGGCTACTAAATGTCCTTATGAATATCTACAAACTGAAAGTCTACTGGCTTTCTAAGGGTTAAAAATTCAGTTTTAAATGGTTTAAATTCTTTGAGATTGTAAATGAAGATGGAGTACCACGGATGGGTATTGCACGTGAAGAATTACATGAGGTTTAAGTCTGAGTTTGGAATCTTCAGCAGCATGCATATTTTAATTTTTGAATTCGATTCGGTACCGCAAGCGCTCGACGTGATACACTTATTAAAGAAGATCCTTAAATATCGATCTGTCGGACAAATCTGGATTGACCAACTTAGAAAAGACAAGCTGAATCCACTTGGAACTTTTTCTTCTTCAATGAAATGAATCACTTGAGCTTCACCGAGGTTGATAGAGTGTTTCCACGTAGAGAATTATGTTACACTGTCAAGATGTTCTTAGAACTTGTTCGCTAGAGTGGCGAAACTTCAGTAGGACGAGATAGGGACTGTATCGTCAGCGTCCAGTATCGAAGCATCATCATTAACTTCTATGATGTGATTAATACGAAGATCAAATAGTATGGGCACGAATACAGAGCCTTTCGAAGAACTTGTTCCTTCACCAGGTGGTTGCAGTTTGTTGATTGCAACATACTTTTGAAAGAATTTGAAAGATAGGAATAGATTTTTATGAAAACGATTTCAAATTCAAATTAACGAAATTCGAGAAAAATGACTCTGTACTATATTAAGTTCAAAACTTACGTGAAATCCAATAAGATCATGTCGATCTATCTCATTATATCGATTTCGTAGATGACCTAAGGTAGACCATCTCATTCGATGATAATACTTTTTGCTAAAAAGCTTAAGAAACGAGAAAGATGACATCTTTCGAAGACTTTATCCATTATCGAGAAGAGCAGTTGATATTCTTGCGTGATTTCCCTAATTTAAGGATAAAGATAACATTGGTTAATTTACAACAGTTTAGAAAACACGATCGAAAGATAAGATATCAAAGGATGCAGTACTACTGCAGCTTAACTTCATCGGATGTGTGTTTAAGAGGATGACATGGGATCGCTGTATCGGTATCATTGAAGAAGATGCGTGTGATTAGTAAGTCTTCGAATTCGTTGAGGTAAATCCGTACCGATGTATCGTGTATCAAGTGTGTGAGAAACAAACTTAATTTATGAAAAACTAAGTCAAGATGGTTGGTCCTAAGTTTCATTATTTTAATAGCTAACAGACTGTTCTGATTGTTCGAGTATTTACAAGATTTAAAAATGATAAAATTAGGTATTTTATAGCTTGTAGGTAGAAGTGCTCGTTTTTGTTCAATCCTAATGTCATAACGGGGATTCGTCTGTCCATTTTGCTCATCTGTTCAATAGCATCATTGATGAGAACGCAAAATAATTGGTCTGTAATTAGCTTGAGACTTCGTTCAAAGTGAAAACAAGCAACAAGGATTTTCTCATCAAGGATAAGTTCTGAGAAAAAAGTTTAAGGAGAGGATGCAAGTACCACTGTTGATGTGGTTCTGAAAGATAGTTATTAGAGGTTTCACTTGAGTTGATACTTGAGCCAATCGATTATACGAGTGTTCCCAGGTTTCTTTCTAATCTTCAGGAGAAGTAAAGATTTTCGTAATGATGTATTTTCCATAGTTTGGAAAAGAACCTCGTATTCGAGATTCTTAGTTCTGACTAATGAGATCTAATCAATGGTAAATATCACCTATTGAAATGGTCGTAAATTATAAATTGTTTAAAATATATAATAGTATAAGATACCTTTCGTATTACTGGGAAAGATGGATCTTGTATTTCAGGATCTTGTACAGGTACAGGAACTACAGGATCTCCTATTTCGGGAACTGTAGTGTGCATCAAAGTCATCATTTATAGCAAGAGATGAATCGATACTGACTAGAGCGTTTAAATTCGTCAATATGAAAATGTCCTGACGAGGCTGTATTTAAGATGTAAGAAATAACTGAGGTCGACAATAACGAAATGGATAATTTCATCAAACGGAATAGTAAAGAAATTTCTATCAAGAAAAAGTTAAATTTCAGCAATTAATGCAATGTATTTCTTGTATTTTTGGAAGAACAGAATTAATTTGTTTCCTTTTCTTTTTTTTTATGATGATATTTCACCATTCTGAAACCAGTATTCCAAAGAAGTAAATTTTAAAAATAATCCACTAATTCAGAAAACAAAAAATGCTTCTACTAAAGCAAAAAATCGATCAAAGATAGTAGAACTGATTTAAGCTGCAAAACTTTATGAGAAGATCTCTAGTGGTTTAAAAGAAAGGATAATATACTGAAAGTTTTTCATCCCCTGTATACATTAAGTTTACTGTATTATATCATTGACTTTTTTGCCTGTTTATATGATTTGAGGTACTCAAGTTCCTGTAATAAGCTATAAGGTAAGTGAATTATGATAAAACATGCTTTATTAAATCAGGAGGAAGTTCTGGAGTATAATGGTGATAAGAGGTTCTTGGAAGAAGTTTGTATTGCCCTTACAAAAGGCTCAATAATGGACATTTCACATAATGAACCATGTGAAAGCTATTCAAATAAGATCCAGTGTATATTACACATTTTGGTAGGTAGTTGCAATTGATAGATGACCGACTAAAGGTTTGATATCTAAAACATTAAGTGTACATTTTATTGAAGAAGTTTTTCTAATACACTTGTGTTTTAAACAGAAAATTAACTTTATTCTTATTACTGACTACTATATTATTTAAAAAACCACTATAGAGAGTATGAGAAATCAATTTTTGGTTTAAAATGTGAATTGGTTTAGCTTGAGAAGAAGCCAGAAATCTTCATTTCTTCATCATCTATTAGAATAAAAGGAAAACTTTTCAAGATGATGACTAATAGATTTTCAAAAATGTAGATTACTATGTTATTCTTCAGGAGATTACCCTTGAAACGATCACAATTAGTGATATTTATAAACAAAATTGCGACTCTAATCCTAGTAGTATGCTTATAAACATCTTCCAATAATTAGGAAGTTTTAAGATATTATCTGAGTACTATTAATAGGATAGATAATTTGACAGGAATGGGACCAAAAATGAAAGTCAAAAGACCCTCAACGAGTGCATTATAGGATGTTTTTGTGGATTCTTTCACACAATTGTTAGTTTACAAATGATAAAAGATTTCTGTAATTATTGGCCACTTTGGGATTGTTTTTAAAAAATTTAAAAATGTTAACTGGAATACTGGATAAAGACTAAAGTTCCATAGAGTAAAACTAGAGTATAAGAAATTACTGAGGTTTTTGCTTATTGATCTCCCTTTTTTATTAAGACAGAAATTAATGATCCCGTTAAGAGACATTGAGACTAGGGTATGGAGAATAGGAATGTATCTTACCTCAAAACTTGTTTTGGCATGTTTCACAACCCAATTGTAGTATCAAATTTAGACTGAACAGATCCCTTTTCTTCTTTTTGCATAAAGTACACGCCTTGCAACTTTAATGGTGTCCATGGAGTTCTCTTTTAACAATATGAATGTAATCCTTGTATTGTCCAGTGAAAAGCATTATTAAAGTCCTCTCACGATAATACGAGTTTTTGCAGTAGGAGTCTTTCCTTATTCGAGGTTTTATTCTCCCGAGAAATACTGCTCGTTGAGTTGATTGTAGCTGCTTTGTTCGATATCAAGAACTAACACGCGTCCATTTGCTGAGAGTACTAGACGCAGGATCCAAGTTGATATCTACTTGTATTTCATTACTGTATCGCTTTATAAGCAGTTCAAAGAAGCAGATGGTGACACGACCAGCAAATTAATAGACAACTCCGACTTACTTCTCCTAGGACCTTGAATATTTCACTCATTTTGAAAACTAGAAAGTTAGCAAGGTGGTAGATAGGTCAACGGAGGAACTAGGTTGAAGGAGAAGCAGTCTTCGTGCCAATGAATTGCTCGTGCCCCATGTCATGGATTTATGACACGTCTATCGCTATTGAGTATACTAATGTCAGATCTTAGACCTTTATATGGTACACAAAAATGCTGATTTTCTGTATCCATATAGTAACTTTTATCTACTTCATATCTAATTTTAACGGCTGCCTGTAATATAAAATATTAATTAAAGTTTTCTCAAAAATAGCTTTGGCGTCCATGTCATAAATCATACGGCTTCAACAGCTGATGTTTTAACATATGCAAAAATATGTTCTTTTATTCATTTTTTTACAAAACAACGAGTATGTAAATTTTTTCTCCAGAAAATTAATATAGAGAAATAGTACGTATTCTTAAATTCAATAATATTTAAATATTCGACGGTTATATAATTTGATGTAACTCAAATGTATCGCATTGCACCTTACGCATATTATTTAATTACCACTGTAAAATTTAATATTTTTAACACTTTAACGACCGTATATTTCACGCAAGAACTTTCACCTACTACTGGTATCTCTCACACAGATCTTACTGTCTACCACTGGCATTTTTTACACAATCATTTATAGTGTAATTATAACATTATTGAGAGAGAAGCCACATTATTTGTCTTTATAATATAACTTCAATTTTCTCATAAAATATTTGTTATATAATATTATTTATTTATTTAATAATATTCGATTATGTACAATGACATAATAACATAATAAGATCAATACTTTATACATATATTAACAATTAGAAAGAAAAGGCATAGTGGTAATGCATTCGCAGACAAATATCAAAACCAAGACTTCAAATAATATGAAGCCAGTCAATAATTGTTGCCAGTGCAAAGCTATATTTAAATAAAAGTCAAACATGAAAGTGTGTATGTCTTACAAAAATCCGTATAATATTTATATACTTTCTTAAAATCAAGATAGTAATATTATAATAGTATACCATGAGGCAGCCACTCAGAGATTCTTCAACAAGTATATACAATAAATTTCATTAGTTGTTTATGAAATAAATACGTGTAAAGATTCCTTAGGACAGTTAAGTATTGAATTGCAGTAAGATTTATATAAGTATACATAATATTAATTATTTCTTCATTTATATTCCTACATACTTTGCATTATTTTGATCACTTTCAAATTTATGCAACATGTATGTAAGAATAAATTTCGTGCCTCCAAGGTGTACATTCATCTTTGACTCCCATTGTATGGCGTCGACCAGTAAATTCACGCATCCGTAATAGCAGCCGTCAAAGTGTTAAAATATCCTAGTTCGTATTTTCTAATACATACATATATGTACAGTATTATATAAAATTAAAATCTGCCCTTATAAAAATCAAGGCAAAATTTGATAAAATTTATGTCAAATGTGATCACAAAATTCGTTACTAACGATTTGGGTTCTAATCCAACTTAAAACCGTGTTTTTATAGTTCAAATTTCCTGGAACACGTACCATTTATTTACTTATACTTTTAAATTATTGTACAAAATCGATCAATTGGAATCCTCATCGTCGGACTTAACAGCATATGAAACAGGTTTACGAGCACGACCGCCAGTTTTTCGAGGTGGTAAAGGAGAATTGTCTACTACACTAGCAATACTTTCTTCTTCTGACTCAGACTTCTTCTTTCTTTTCTTTACCTGAATAGTCAAATAAGTCTTGGGTAATTAATTTGCAAATGAATTTACAGCATGTAAACATATGTCGAAAAACTGACATATAGTACTAATTTATACAAATATAATATTCTTTTTCTTGTATTATTTTTTTCATATCATGACTACTAAATTTTTCTTAATACTTATCACTTCATAATATATGAATTACTTTGTTACTTACAGGTGATTGTTTATTTGAAAACAAAACTTCTTCCGAATCTGAATCAGAAGAAACAACTTTTTTCTTTAACTGTCTTTTCATTCCTTTTCCTCCATTTTCACTTTTCTTTTTAGCAGGAGCTAAAACGAAATATTTTATAATCAATCAGATGTTAATATAAACTAACAATACCAAACGTAGAATTTTATAATTAATAATATATTAATAACTTTACCTTTTGTCCGACGTGAAAATATTGAAGATGATTCTTCACTAGATGCCACAACAGGTTTTGGTTGTTTTTCTGGAGAACTACCGACTAACGAGTCAAAAAGTTCTTCTGAACTAGCTATTGTAGACAGAAATATAATAAGTATTATATAATATTCTACATGAAACTAATATAACAATGTGATTAATATATTTATTCTAATGATTATATATGTTAACATTTACTTACGTTTCTTACTTTGTACTTTGAAGATATCATCGGAATCGCTATTCAAAATTGCGAGAGGTTTTGTTTTTCTAGAAGTAAATGTAATAAAAATACATTGTTTATATTTACATTACATCGTCTAATTCTAAATAAAATACTTACTGCTCCATATCTGAAGAAACGCTAAGTACATCATCACTAGAAGAAGAGTCTTCGCTACTAAAATTGTAATTCTTTTTAGCTGTAATGTTAAAAACAGATACATACATTAGAAAGTACTAAATATATATGTATATTTCTAAAATAAATATTACAATATGGCAAGGAAACTAAATGAAAAAAAGATAATACCTGCTGTTCTACGAGATGCACGAGGTACTGGAGGAGGAGAAATACTTCCAAAATCAATATCGTCAGTATCATCTGAATCTTTCTCTTTTTTCTTGTCATCTTTCTCTTTCTTCACCTTTGACTTAAATGGTAATGTTGTCTGTTTCAGTCCTATTTTAGATAATAAAATGATATATTATTGCTCATAAACTTTAGAAAATGTTTTATTTTATTATAACTACGTGGATATATACTTTTTTTGCCACCAGCTTTCTTTTCTATCTTTTCTGGAGAACTATCCAATCTGTCATCTAAAGATTTAGCATTTGTTTCAACCAATAGATCAAATTCATCTTTATCTTCCATTGGTTCCTTTTTTATCTAATAATTTATATAAAATGTTATAATATATAAGAAATTTAACAAAAATAAAAGAAACTTAATAATATATATTATATTACCTTCTGATGTTTTTTTATTCCTTCTTTCTTATCTTTAGATACAATATCTGCTTTTTCAATTTTTCTTTTTAATTCAATATCAATTATAGGTACTATTCGACGAATATCATCAGAAGTGTAATACTTTGATGGTGGTTTTTTAATACATTGTTTCGATTTGTTATCTTCCTTCCGTTCTTTATCTTCTAACTGTAATAAAATATAGTATGCATGTTGTGCTAAATGCTATCGAAATAAAATGTTCTCCAAGTTAAAGATATTTGCTTACCTTATTTAATTCATTCAACAAATTATCTAAATCCTCTTTCCATAAAGAAATAGGAGTTCGAACTTGTAATCTTTTCAATTCTGCTACTTTATCTTCTTTCTGACGTAACAGTTCATCTTTTCTTTCCTTCGTTAAAGACCACAAAGTCATTCCTAGCAAATAATCATAATTTTCCTTTGCAATGGCTGTAGATGTAGTTACTTCACCATCAGCATTTTCAGATACTTCTTCCTATTAATATAGTATTTGAATATTAAATATTTAAATTAAAATGAAAATTATAGTTACAATAAATATTTTTTTCTCTATATGATTTTCTTCCTATCACTTACTTGAGCTTCCTAATGTAGCACAACAGTTAAATTTAAATAAATTTCAAAAATAATACTTTAAGAGAAAGACATAACACTTACTAAGACTTCTTCTCTGTTTTGTGATAATTTCCAGGCTACAACTGGATCGGATTCATATTCCCGTTTAATTAATTCAGCAATCATATCTTTTCTCTTTTTATTTTCTATTACTATAGTACCATCACATTTTTCTACTATAAATCGTGCTTGATTTGTAAGTTTAGAGGCTTCTGCTTGTAGAATACCTTCTAAATACTCTTTTCTTTTGTGATACATTTCTAATCTCATTTTATAAAAATTTCTTAAAATTTGAAGAACACTATCATATTTTTGGAGACATAGATTCTCATCAAATGCACACTATACAAAAACAATTCGCATTCAGCATCAAACGTTAAATTTAAAATATTTTAAATAAAATATATTATTTTTTACCATAGATGTAACTGTCATTGTAGATTGTAATTTAAATGCTTTATGAAGACCATCTCTTTCTAATTCAACCAATTTGTCACGGTTTATCATTATTATAAAGTGTACTGCTGTATCTGTATTATATTCCTTGTAATCTCTGTAATAATATAAATGAGAAAAAATAATAAATGTTTCTTAATCACTTATCTTAAAATGTTAATACTAATAACAACAATTATATTTACGTAATAGTAGCTGGGGTTTTTTCAGTTCCATGTAACATTGGCTCTAATACTGTTTCTTTATATACTTGAGTCCAAGTTCCTACTGGAAGTTCAGTAATTTCAACTTTATCTGGTCCAATCACTGAAATTTCTCCATTAATAATATATCTGAAATCTCCACAACTTTCTATGACTCCTTTAAAATTTTTATAATATGGTACCTATAAAAAGTATACAAAAATATATATATTATAATTATAACATTTTTGAAAAATATTACCATAGGTTTTGGATCTGCACCATCCATCATTCTATATAAGTTTTCAATTATTTCTCTAGGATTATAATTTGGTATCTTTGTCATCCATCCAGTACCAATGCCATCAGCACCATTCACTAATACCATTGGTATAATTGGTACATAATAAATAGGTTCAATTTTTTGATTATCATCATATTCGTGTTTTAGTAACGCATCATCATGTTTATGAAATATATATCTTGCTAATGGACTGTAGATAACAGAGAAAATAATATATTAAACTATTCTTATGCAGAATGGTTCACCACATTCTGCCTTGTAGATTTACATCATTATTATTATGCACAGCAAAAAATATTACATGTGAATTTAAATGGTACGAAAGGGGCGTTGTGATGGTACTAATTTTCTTGTATGTATATATGTAGAGCACATATGAAGCCATTAACATTTTTCTAAATGGAATCATATATTTTTTATTACATCAGTTAATACACCTTAATATTCTTTACAAAAAAGTATTAACTTATTTATATTAAAAAGGAGGAGATAGTAGTTAATACTTTTTTGTAAAGAATATCAAGATGCATTGATTTATGCAATAAAAAATAGATGATTTCATTTGAAAAAACATTAATGATCTTCATATGTCCTCTACATGAATACATACAAGAAAATTAGTACCATCCAAATGTATCCTGATCAAAACCATTCAAATTCATGTGAAACACTATGCGTAATAATAATGACATAGATTTAAAAGGTATATGGTATCTGTTTTATCAGGATGTAATAAATATCTCAAGAATAATGTTTACTGAAATAAATTCAACAATTCATTATACTAAGTCATTTACGGAAAACCATAAAATTGTGAAGAACTGACAAGTCAGAAAACACGTGTCGCATATTTTCGAAAAATATGCGCACATTGTAGCGTATATAGCAATCATCGATAGCCACTATTTACCAAACAAAAGTTTAATTACCAATGACTATCTTTGGTATCCATAAAACAAATTCAATCTAAGTATACAAAACTGAATTCGAGATACGATTTTTCAGTCGAGATTTACACTTGAATTTTCATATTTGAAAGTGTTTTCATACTTCATAGTATGATTATATATATATATATATATGCATATACACAATATATATAGAAGACCAAAACAAGGAAAATATTACATAATATTATATCATATTATTAACAGTATTAAATTAATACTGTATTAATTGTATTAATGCAAAAATCTCATTCTAATATTTTCTCTACTAACCAATAATGCTTGCTCTTAATATTCTGAATACACGTGTTAAACTTTGATTGTTATAGATAATTTGTAATCTGAAAATTGATATCTTTCCTACTATTCCACCTGTGAAAGAATTACTTATGCTATATAACGTTCCCCTGTACACCAAACAACTTTTGTACAAACGTTTTTTCAATACCTTTAATTCTTCATGAGATATTCTCTCCTATATAGTCAAATAAAACAGACACCCAGAATATACAATCCCGTGTGTGTGTGTGTGTGTGTGTGTGTGTGTGTGTGTGTACCTAAGCATTGTAAAGATGTATCGAGGACTCGCTGCATCTTTTCCTCCTGTAAGTCTTGTACCAAATTGACCAATTGGTTGAAGTAAATTTATGTTATTGCTTCCTACGAAATTTTGTGCAAGATTAATAATTGTTGACATAAGAGAAACTTCACCATGATGATATGCTGAATGTTCGGCTACAGAACCAGCTAACTGTGCAACTTTTACTTCACGTTTGTCATTACGTTTCAAGCATGTATACAATACTTTCCTTTGACCAGGTTTAAAACCATCCATCATATTAGGAATAGATCGAACATTGTCATAATTGCTGTATAAAACTAATTCTACGTTAATGAAGTCAGAGAAGGACACAGTACGTGTATCCTTTTCGTATAAGAAGCGTTCTCCGAGACCAATTTCCTTTCTTCTCTTTGTTTCATCCATGTGATTCATTAACCAATCCTTACGTTGATCAGCACATTTCTTACTAAAAGCCATAATAATATTCTGATCATCTTGATCTCCATCATATCTAAATCGAATTCTGTGTCTAGCCATATTTTCAAAATACTCTTTTGCTTCTTTAGCAGTGGAAGTACCCAAACCTACAAGGAAAAGATATTTTTATATGCTGTAACAAATATTTTAGTAAAAAAAATTTACAAAAATTAAAAAATGTAAACCTTTGTAGTACTTGATTTTGTAAGTATGAAAATTATCCGTTTCCGACTTCCACTTATGAAATTCTGGCATTGAAAAAAAACTTAATATTTGATTCCCTTTTGATGCTTTAACAATAGGTGTGATAAATTCCTCAATAAAATTTAATTTTAATAATGATGGCCAATTGTGATGAATAAAATTAATTAACAAGCCTTTGATATGAGAACCATCCTAAATGAATACCCATATAATTATGTTATGATAAAATTAAAATTAATGTACACATATAGAAATGCAAAATTTATTAAAAAATTAACCTGATCCTGATCAGTCATTATCATTAATTTTCCGTAACGTAATGTTTTTAAATCGTCTCGAGATTCATATCGCTTTTTATACTGGAGACCAAGAATTTTTATTAAATTATTTATTTCTGCATTTTCCAGAATCTGCTTATGTGTTGCCTCCCTTACATTCAAAATTTTACCTAAAGATAAAAACGTTTACAAATAGTATAAGGAATTTAAGCAATCTTCATTTATATTACTATATTTATGTTACTTATCCTTACCTCTTAGAGGAAATATACCATATTTGTCTCTACCTATTGCTGCAAGTCCAGACACAGCCATGGTTTTAGCCGAATCTCCTTCAGTTAATATAAGTGTACATTCTAATGATTTACTAGTTCCAGCGTCATTGGCATCTTCTAATTTTGGTATACCTAAAGTATGAGATTGTATAAATAACTAAATATGAGAGAGAGAGAGAGAGAAATTTATATACAAAACTTACCTTGCAATTTTCTTTGCTTTGATTTGGGTCCCAACTTTTGTAACTGACTGTCGGCTTTAAATTTTGCCCATGTTAAAACTGCTTCTACAATTCCGATTTTCGTTACCTATATATAAATTAGAATTTCTTACACATATAGAAAATTATTGTATTAATAAAATTGTATTTTAATATTTACAGATGTAACAAATTTGTCACTAAGTGTGCATTTTGATCCAAAATTTTTAGCTTGCAATGTCATGTTCTCCTTAGTTTGTGAATCAAATGTAGGATTATTAATAAGACAATTAATAAAAATCCATAAATGATTTTTTATTTGGAATGGTTTAATTGCAACACCGCCCTTATTTTTCTTTTTCAATGTTTCTATTAATTGTTTCACTATTAATTCTGTAACATGATCCACATGACGTCCACCCTATTTATAAAACATTTTTATCAATCTTCTTCCATAATACATATACTACTTTATTTCATTATATTTATTACCTTTGTTGTTGCAATACTATTTACAAAAGACATTTGCTGGAAGCCCTTGTCAGATAAAGTAACAGCTATTTCCCAGCGAGGTCCACAACTTTCATATACAACTTTTAAAGGATTGCCAATATCATCTTCTCTACCCTTAATATAGAAATCAACATAATCCTTGAAATTCTTGACAGGAATTTTAGTACCATTAAGATAGACTTTGACACCTCTACTAGAAGCAGCCACGTCATAAGCTCTTCTAGACATAAGAGCAACTATGTCATCATCCAAAGATTGCATTTTAAATTTTGATAAATCTGGTGAAAATATGACTTTTGTAAAATCTTCACCAGAAAAGTCTTTAATTCTAGGTTCACTTGCACTTCCCATGTTACTACTCCATGTCTACAGATATAATTATATTACATACATATATTTATTATAAAAAAACAAGAAATGCCTTACTTCAAATATGAATATCTAAGACAATTACTTGTTTTAAACATTTTTTATATTCCTTAGATGCAGTTTCCACAGTAAAACGATGACTAAAAATGTTACACAACTTGGCACCATAGCCATTTCTACCACCTGTTACTTTCTCCTCCTCGTCATCATAATTAGATGATGTTAACAAATGACCAAATATCATTGTAGGAACATACATATTTTCCTCTTTATGAACTACCACTGGAATGCCTTTACCATTATTCCATACAGATATAACATTATTTTCCCTATGAATTAAATAAATTATTCATTAATTATACAATTATCATTACATTCTAAAGTATTTCGTATAAAAATAATATTAAATAGCCCTTACGGATCAATTTCAATTTTAATCGTATCCATTTTAGGATCTCTCTGCTTATTATCTGCAGCATTTACTAAAATTTCATCAAATATTTTGTATAATCCAGGAACATATTTTATTTCTTTCTGTATCATTAATTCTTTTTCTTTATCATAAATCCACATCATCTCTGTTACAGGTTCGACAGAACCAATGTACGTGTCAGGACGTAATAAAATATGTTCTAATTGTGATTTCTTTTGATATATGCCTTCAATAGTCTTTTTCTTTGATAGACTATCACCACTGCCATTTTCTACCATGGTACTCATTCTGGCACAATATCTTTTTATGTAACTATAAAATAATAAAATGTTAACTCATATTTAATACATAAAAAAACTGACAGAAATATAACTATATGACAAATATCATATGTTAACAGTAAAAACTGACATACTAACTATAAAATTAAATATTGTAAATTCTGTATATAAGTTAATTATTATTATTATTATTAATATTAAATATTTCTTTAAACAATTTATACAGAATAATACAATAATATATTACAATAATGCATTAATATATTAACATATTCCTTGCCATGTGATACATGTAAAATTTCTCATTCCGTACAGAAAAAGCAGCTCTGCAGAGAACGTGTTGATAGATGATAATGTATTAAATACTTAAATTACGTTGAAAATAATAAAAAATTATTAAAATTATATTTCTGATATTATTCTTCATTTTCTGAATATGTATTATAAATTATTTATTATATGACATTTTTACTTAAATTACTTGCAACATTCTAGCTATTTATAAATAAATAATTTCACGTGCAACATCTATTTGTAAACAGAAAATAATCATATAACCACATTACACAGTACAATGCATTATTTGTATCTTTAATATATTAAATAGAAAAAAATATTATTAACAATTATGAAACAGTAGTAAGATTAATAGTTTCATTTAACTTTATAATAAATTTTTATAATTTATAATAAATTTGTATAATTTAACTATTCAAAACATGGAATACAATTGAATTACGTAAATTAAAAGTAAAATAAATACAATACCAAAATTAAAATAATCACAAAGGAAAGTGATAGAAATATATTTAAAACATGGTATATATTCTTTATTATTAATGAAGATCGAAATTAGTATATTATTAAAAGTTTCATACCTCAAATAGTTTTACTAATATGGAGGGAAAACATTTTCTGTGTAATTGGTTGGCATAATAAAAGACGTTAATGTGACATATAACTTTTGTTTTCGAAAATAACGTATGTAAATTTGGAAAGGTTATTAAAGGCAAAAAAAATTGTAAAAAGATATTAAATAGTAAATTATTTTTATGATTTACCTGTAATAAAATTGTAACAAAAATACAGAGCTGCGTCGGCAACGGAAATTTGCACAAGTATAAAATTTCTATCGAGATACTATTAACTGACACCACAGTCAATAAATGACTGAACTTAATTAATTATTGGATACGCTATCCTTCTTATTATTCTTTTGTTCACTTGACTATTGAATAATTGATTTTGCACAAAAAATATTATTTTTGTCTTACGCTTGGTCTGAAGCTTGTACACTAAATTGATACCTATACGACAAACTATCCATCTCCAACGGCTACAGTCACTTTCGTACTACAGACGCCGTTCCAAAAGACAATCGAAATTTAACGTAAAGCAAACTTATTTTATTTGTTAAATAATTACAGTTTGTAATATTTGCAGCACAAAATATTATCATATAGTTTATTTTTTTAATTATAAAATAATAAAATAAATAAAACTATCGATAAAGTGCAATATTAAATTAACACAAGTTTTAAAAAATAAATTACAAGGTAATAAAATAATATTGTTTATTTTTTTAAATACAGATTGAAATAAAAAAGTTCAATTTTTACATTTATTATTCATATCTTATTTATACTGTAAAATCAATCTTTAAATTTGTAGCTAAATTTAAATAAAGAAAACAAATTGGTATCTTTATTATTTCAATTTTAAAAATATAATTGTTTTATTTAATTTATATAAATAATTATATAGTTTCTATACAATCTACTTCTAAATAATATATTAGAAAAATTGGTAAAGTATTTTATAAGTGCTTTAGTAATTAATTTTATAAAAATATAATATAAATGCATAGTAAATTGTAGAAACTATTCTCGCTTTATATATATCTTATATAATTTGTTTTATATACTTTGTTTATATATATAAATACAAGTTTTATCATTATTATAAATAAACAAATATTTCAATGACTATAATATTTCATCTTTAAAAAAATGGGAAATATGTATTAATATATAATCTATAAATATATTTATTTACTTTAAATAAATTGAATATGTATTAATATAAATATCATAATTTTAAATATAGATAAACACAATAAATTATATTAATTTAGAGGTAGCTTATATTATGCTACATGAGAATTTATATTGAGGGTATAAATTTTATCATCTGGTCTTTTAATTCATTAATTCCTTCGCTTATTAATTTTAAAAATTTTGTCAAATCAGTTACAAGATATGTAATTTAATGTTCGATTAAAGAACATAAACCTTCAGGAGTATCAGGAATATGATGCCAAATATCTGGATGAGCATTATGGGATGATTGTATTAACTGATAAGTTCTTAGTCACTAATCGAGTCGATAAGGTTAAATTCTTGGGATTTGTTATTTAAGAACCATTATGCTACACTTGATTAAAATTTTTATTATATTATATCTAAAGACCTATATAGTCAAATAATAAAATCTTATTATCTAAGAAGTTATAACAAACATTTGAATATTGTATCATTAATGTGAATTATTTTTATTAAATATATATTACATTATTTTTAACACAAGAACTATTAATATAACTCTAATTAAATTGTAATAAAAATTAATTAAATCTAGCATATACAAAATTATATTTCATAGCAACATATAGTTATTAATGTATTTTCATTTGTAGTTCATATCTCTAACCTTTTATTTTTATTCTATTATTTCAATATGTCTTTAAGAAAATAATATATTTTTAAATTACTTTAAAATTATACATATTACTCCTACATCTTCTTTGTAGATAAATATACTATAGTACAAATAAGTAAAATTTTTGTACAAAATATTTTTATACATATAAATTACCTGTTTAATTGTAAATGTGTCGTTTCAATTTACAGTAGTACTCGCTTAATGCATATATTCTTTACGCCAGTTACTATAAAATAGACATATTTTATCTACATCAGTTTTTAGAACTAGCTTTATGAAATAAGTCCCAAAGTCCCTACACTAGGTAGTAAAATAAATAAACTAGACAAAAAGAATGAAGTTATAGGTTGACAATTTTAAAGATAATTCTGGGCTTATAATTCATTAATACATAAAGTATTACGAAAAAAATTCTTTGGAAATTATATTAAGTTTTGTAAAAAAAAATTTAAAAAAAATTAGTTTAAAAGTATTAATATCAGATTGCATTATAAAAAAAAATGACTACTGATATTGTATAAAAGTTACTTAATAGAAATATTTTACAAGATATACGTTGGTATTTGATTTGTGTCAACACTATATTGAAATAGGAAAGAGACATAAAAACAAATTTCGTGTTTCTTTTTTGGAAAGAAGTATATGCATATGATACCAAATAAATATTGCAATTAATATAAGATATACTGAATAAATATTACACATAACATAATAATACGTAGTAATTATAAAAATGTTGGTTTTCTGTAAAAGTAATTCAGTATGATTTTTGCATATTCATGTATTATTAGATCAATGAAGACTAATTTATTACAAATAATATAACATAAAATGAATTGATTTTTTTAAATTTGTTGAAAATTGTATCTGCATCTGTCGACGGTAACAATGTCAACCGACATTACCTATAAATCGATTAAGACGAGAAAATCGACAACATATTTTTTTCATTTTCCCATATAGGATTGATATCTTTTTGTTTTCTATTAATAAATAGTTTAAGTTATTTTATTTTGATTGTATTGAGGTGTTCATTCCATGTTCCTTGTGAAATTTTAACAGTATCATAAATTTTTGGTTTGCGTTATGAACCTATAAATTCAATTTTGAACCATAGTCTATAATTGTGTCACTATTTAAAACATATTTTAAATGTTTAATCGAGTGTAAGACAATCATATTATATTGGTTACTATGTAACTTTTCACTATGTCTACTCATACTTAATGTTTTTCACTTTATTCTTTAACCGTTTGAGTCCTAAGCAGCGCGATCGCGCTGTTTAGATTTCATGTCGAGAAAACCCAGCACATTTCGAGCGTTCTCGGCAACTGACGGGCCACACCGACTGTCGAAGCGCTATCAGGCCACTTACATTTATCGCCATAATATAAACGAAGCGCTATCGCGCCGCTTGGGATTTCCTGACATAAAATAGAAGAAGCGCTATTGCGCTGCTTGGGTCTTCCCGTACTCACAGAAGGCACGGTCGCGCTGTTCAGGATTCTTCGATAGTGTTTTTTCAAAACCCTTTGGGACTCAAACGGTTAATTCTTTAAAGTCAAAGAGCTGAAGAAAGTAATTACTAATTTCTAAAACTATATTTTAAGATAGTTTTTACAAAATGATTCATAATCTGTGAATACTCAGTAATTACAACTGAGTATTCTTTGTGATGAATTACATTATTATAAAAATTATACAAATACTGTAACAATTTTATTTTATAATTTGTGTATTTGTCTAATATATATTTAAAAGATTATATTAGATTGTATTAGACTCAAGAAAATATTTTAATTTAATACTTCTAATCCATTTAATGTTTAATAAATTTATATAAACAATAAATTTTATAATTAAAAATGATAATGAAATGAAAAAATTGAACACAATGTATAAAACAATTGTTTAAGTCATATCTGTGCGAGGATTTATTAACTATATAGAGTTCTTTTCTAGATACAGTTATAGATGAAAACTTTTTATAGTTTAGTAAGTTTCATATACAGTTAGCCCTCCTACAACACGGCATTCTATAACACGGTTTCACTACAACACGATTCATAAATTGCGGGGAATCCTCCTACAACACGGCATCCTATAACACGATTTTGCTCCACGTGATAAGAAAATTGCAAAAACCTTTGTACAACACTGTACTTCTACAGCCGCGGCGAGGCTTGCCGCCTTTAAAGATAGTGTTGCAGAAAGTATTTTTGTTTTTTTGTTTTGTTTTGTGTTGTACATACGTTTATATCTTTAACCCTTTGCACTCGAGAGGTGATCCTCAGTCACGATTTCACAAAATTTGGAAGATCGATATTAATTAATATATCAAATGTAATGTAACACTGTGCGAGGTATCGAAGTCAAATAATTCTACAATTCTATTATTATACAATTCTTTATTTACTGCTCAAAAAAGTATCGTCAGTTTTCTCGTAGAGAATCTTTGATTTTCTACTCTTCTCTAGCCAAAAAATCGTCGAGTGCAAAGGGTTAATAAAAATTAAGTTGTTTATGTAGAATTTAAAAAAAAATTGTTTTTAATCATTTTTCGAAACGTAACCACCCTTTTTGTACTGGCTCTGGGTCTCATACAACACAGTTTCACGCAACACGGCATTTTCTAAGAACCTATCTACCGTATTATAGGAGGGTGACCTTTACTTGAAACATGAGTTTTTCTATAATCATAAATGTTTATTTTTTAAACAGAATCATGTGAATTTTTTATAAATATAATAAAGGTCATAAAGCTACGTGTATACTTGAGAATAAAACTGTCGCGAGTTGCTCGCGAGAGGACATAATAATTCATTGTTGTCGAAGAGTTACTAGCAGAATTCGAAACGGCATCAAAGTCCTAAGAGTACTCATGGAAAGAAGCGGGAACACTTGAAACGATTATAGGAACGTATGACGGATAAATTAAAGAACTATCAGTGGGAAAGACGAGCCTAATCGAATGGATGTTTAGATTAAGATTAGTTGTGAAATTAGGTGTGTGTGTGTAGTATATGTATGAATGAATAAAAGTTGACCGAACGATGAGAAAGAGGCAAATAGTATCAAGTGTCGTAAAGAAGAACAGCCGTAATGGCGGTCCGTCGGAGAATAACTGTTAAACGACTCTCAAATAGATACAGTTCTGAGAGTTCTACTGTGCGTTGTAGAGAAATCCGCTGAGCGAAACGTAGGATTGAATCCTCACTAACTCATCTATTCTAATGTCACCGCAGAAGTGGAGTAAACGCGTTTCCGTTATTGACAGAAATGATCCTTTCCTATTAGCTCGGTCATATAGCACCATGTGACAAAGAAAGCGAACGAAATAATCAAGACAAGGTGAAATAGACGCAACAAATAGATGCAAGGGCATAAACTTATCCCTAAAACATTAACTTCAGATTCTTCTGATGAATGTTCATTTCCTAAGTTTATTTAACTTATATTTCATACACGTATTAAATATGCATTCAATATTTATGAATTATGAGTGAAAATAATCGTGTCTTGCTTGTGCAATATTCTCATGTTTACAGGCTTTATGTATGATACAAAAATAGGAATGTATTTTATTCTTTGAAGGATTCCATAAGGAAAAATAAAATCTAATTTGAACTTGATAAACCGAAGTATGTACCTAGGAGGTCATAACATATTATTTATATGTTTTTGTCGAATATCTTATTATGTTTGAGGTATTATATAGGCATCTAAAACAGATCATTTGAATAACTCGTTTGTATCTCAGACAGAGTTTGTTTGATTTTGAAAACTTGATCTGATGTCAATAATCTTTTTGCAGATGGAGATATAGGGGAGATATAAAAGTCAAATTCTGATGCTTTTCATATACAAGATAATATAGTTTTTTATCTATACGTTAATAGTAACTTTTAAAACAAATATAATGATCTCTATATAAAGGTTATTCAGAATGAAACAAGATTAAATGTATTTCAACATATTTCTTAAATAATTTAGTGTCTTCTATATTTATTGATATTGCTCTTATAATTGTATAAGCATATTATGAAATATAAATAAACAACAAATGACACATATTATACAATCTTTGAAGTGTTGCTTGAAAAAACTTAACCCAATAAAACATATATTAAGAGTTGTAGCGTATATTGATATTTAACTATCCATTTTTATTTATTCTAGAATAACTGTACATCTACTAATAAAAATCAACAGAATTATTCTATATATAAAATCTTTCATACATAAAGCTTGTTTTTAAAATAATAATATGAATAGAGTCATTGATTAAAAAATAAAAAATTTTGGAAACTAAATTTTAGTTAATACCTATTACTTGATTACAATATTTGATATTTCTTAAAGACTTTTTCATTGAAATTCAATTTCATACATATTAATATTTTTAAATTAATATCTTCATTTTTTAATACAATTTTTACCATTTATCTAAGTTAATTATATATACTCTATCAATCTCTTTTTCTAAAGTATGTATGTTTATTATGATTATATTTAGTTAGAATATGCATTATAATATAATTTTATCTCACTTTATGTATAAAGTGATTTTGAATAATTTGTGTTTTTACGAAAGCAATTTGTTAATCAAAATAATTAAATATACTTATTAAAATTAAATGATTAATAATTGAATTAAATTAAAAAATTGACAAGCAAACTATACATATGTTACTAAGTATATACTACTAAATACTACGTATATACTGAATATACTAATAAGAATGTGTACTATAATAATATATTATAGCACCTATGTATGTAAAATTATTTAAAAATTATACACAAAAGTTATGTATAAAAATCGTGTGATTCCAAATAAAAAAGTGTAATTAATATATTAAATATGTCTCAATAGAAATATATTACAGAATGGATTAAATAAGTAAAACTTTGGTGTTTAATTTCTTTTTAATTTCATCTGAAATAAAGTTATAATAAACTTATAACAGATTTATTGTAAAATTTTGTATAAGTTCTCAATATAGTAAAATTAAGAATTATGTTGGCTGCTCTGTATTGCTCATAAATTTTGTATATAGTATGCTTCAGTTTATAAACAACATTGTTTATTTAGTAACGCTGATAGTGGACGAATTGCAATTATGCATTAAAAATTATTCAGTTCAAAATATTACAATTGTAAGAATAATATTAATTATGATTGCAATATAAATTATATTGTTTATTTTATGGATTTTCTAAAAAAGAAAAAGATTAGTTTTAGACAGTAATATTAAATAACACTTTGATATGACAACGTTAAAGGGTGTTTTTCCCGATTCAAGTGAGTATATTATTTACGAAATTGTTCATAGACAAGTAACTTTGTACTTGATAATATTTATAACCATTTTTCTTCAAATCTTTATTTCAAACTGCTTGATAATTAATATTATCTTATAGAACCAATAAAAGGAAAAAATTTCATACATGAAAATGTAAAAAATCTTCGTCGTATAGAACATTCACATATTAACAAAGGCATAGAAGTACAAAAATCCCAAGTATACAATCGAAAAAAAATTATTAGCAATAATAATAATAATAATCATAATCGTAATCACAATAGCAATGTTTTATCAAAAAATAATACAAATTTTCGATTTAAAAAACATGACAACGATATAAATTTAAATATAAATAACAAACAAGACCAGCATCAACAGTTATGTAAGAAATACAGTGCCTTAGTGTTAAACAAAAATAATGTTTCTACAAAAAAAACAATATATTCAGCCAGTAATAACTCATTAATTAAGGAAAAAAAGAAAGAGCATAAAGAATTAAACAAGTCTACACAAAAATTATATGCAAAAATTTCATCAGATCCTAATTTTTCATATAAATCAGTTGAAAATAATGACAATAACATGAAAATTCAAGTTAAAAATCAAGGCATTCAAACACTGAATACAAAGGAAATTGATGATTTATATTCTGAAGGAATAATTAAGTATATATATTTCACTTAGAATTATTTTTTAAAACTACTATTAAATAATTTCTACATTTGCTAAAATTTCTGTTGCTTTTTATGAATAAAGTAGTGGTTATCATCATCATTATAAATAATATAAAGGAATTATAACACATTCAGTTATTTACTAATAATAATTTTTGTATAGATATCCATCAAAAAAATATTTAAATAACAATGAATCAATAAATAAAAATGATATAAGTGAACAAATTGATATATCTTCAAAAACTATAACTAGTTCACCTTCAGATAGAGGAGATGTCCAAATTCTTGAAAAAAGTACACATAATAAAAATGACACAAAAAATTCTAAAGTTCCATCACCTAAAGAAGAAATAAATTTTATTAAGTTAAACAAAGAACATACTTCTATGACTAATAAGATGGTAACACAAACAAATAATAACATCAATAATAATAATACTAATAACAATAATACTGGTGCTAATGATAATCATCATGTTCTTCCTGCTAATTATCGCATGGGTGTAATTCCAAAGTAAGTGGTACAAAATTACATATATATTTATTATTGTTTGATTTTCTTTTCTTATATTTTATATTATATTTGAATATATTAGAGCAACCATTTATAATTTGTAAATAGTATGTTTAATTTAATTTTTTACATTTTAAATCTTATGACAATAAGATCATTACTTTATTAAAAAATTATTTGGTTACTAGGTATATTAAAAATAGAAAGGAAATTCAAAAAAGGATGCAAAAAGCTAAAGTAGAAGAACAAGATCCTAATTGTCCAAACAAGCATGTTCCATTACCTGATAATGAACGTAAAGAAACATTACGAATGTTGAAAAAAAGTATGTGATTTAATTTTTAAATTAAATTTATTTTATGCAAATCATTCCTTAATCAAGTTTATATTATTATTATAGATTATCAAGATTATGTAAATGAATTAAATATGATGCCTATAAAAGTAGATACACTTAGGGCACAACAACGTAAAATAGAAATAGAGAAACAGCTAAATAAATTAGAAGAAGGAATAAAAGTTTTTTCAAGACCTAAAGTTTATGTAAAAATGAATGCTTAAATTATTGTTTTGATGTAAGGTTATAGAGGGTGTAACTTAATGTTTAGAAAACAGAAATGAATGTACAAAAAGAACTTCTTAAGTGTTCTCCTCATTTTTCAACGGAGCTTCAAATATTACAATTTTAATATTATTTATACAATTCAAACAGATAGCACATTTTATATATTTCTTTCTTAATTTTTGAGCATTTATATCATCTTTTAACATAGTTTTTTAATTTACTTTTTGAGTGTAATAATTTATTTTCATATCTTTCTCATTGAATTTTTCTTTTTTGTTGTACTTTGTAAAGAATTTGTATTTGTTTCACCTTTTTGAATCCAGAAAATGCATCCAGTTTGCGTTTTTTCCTTAATGTAATGAAATAATAAAGCACATTACCAACTGAAGTTAAATGTATCGTATATTTTTAAACGTAAAATTGCTTATAAATATATTAACTGTTTTCTTTTTTCTTTATGTGCAATTTATCAAATATGGCTTATTATTCTAAATTTTATTTTAATTTCTTTTTTTGTATATAGTTATATTAATCTTTTTTTTAATATTATATTTATAGTTTTAACTACTTTTCTAAATAACAATTAGTTTCTCGTTTTGTTAAATGTGCTTTTATTATTGTTTTATATATAATTTATGAATATATTATAAGATCTAAGATGGTATACAAGTACATTAAGTGTAATAAATTCTATAAACTATTGAAAGTTTCATTCAAAAGTAAAAAAAAAGGAATTTAGCCTTCTAATGAAATATGTATGTACATGATTATTTAGTTAAAGAACAAAAAAAAATTAAATATATACATATGTAATGTTTTTCAATAGATTTAAATTGCTTATTTACAAATAAAATTTAATGTGTCAATATCAAATATTATTTTGTAACATAATTAAATATGATATAATAACATGAAAAAAGAAGAAAACATTAAGTTTATATAAACATACAGTATACACATTTTTAATCTCAAGAATAAATCAAAAACAAGATATACATTTATATGGATTTATTTTATTATTTTAAATGTAGAATTCGTTTCTAAATAGTTTTTTACATATTAAATACAGTATGTATATATAGATATATGTATGTGTATATGTATATTTATATTTAACAATTGTATATAATATGTTATTTTTGTATAAAATAAATAAAATTTTATATTTTTAAATCTTTAATAAAGGATCTGAAAAATCAGAAACTTCATTATAATATTTACTCTGTAATTTTTTCTGTATTAATGTTTATAAAACCTTTATTTATAGTATGTAAAAAAGCTATTGGATCAAAATGAACTTGACCTAAATTATAGTATTTTTCTTCATGCTCATACCACTTTTTAAAATCAAAATCATTAAAGAATATTTTTATTTCTCTCATTGCAGATTGTATTGAATCTAAAATGATATTTTTTCAGTACAATATGTATAAATATAAACACAAACATTCCAAATAAAAAATTTACCAGAACCATGTGTTGCATTTCTTGTATCTGATAAACCAAACATTCCTCGAATTGTGTTAGGGGCAGTATATTGTGCCTGATATACTTTTGTAGGACCCATTAATTTTCTCCATTTAATAATAGCATTGTGATCTGCCAGAATATGAATATCTGATGGACCACTGCACATAAATGTTATAAGACGATTATAAAAAAATTTATCTTTGTGCTCCTCATAAAATAATTCTGCTTCTTTTTGTGTAATTATTGTCCTACGTGACCTGACAATTTTCAAATTATTGTCAATTATTAAATCTCGAATTTTCTGAAAATTATAATAATATTTAAATATTACCATAATATTATTCTCATGAACCAACTGTTCTGTTAATCCCGTTTTCCCGTTAATTCCGTTTCGCTATGTATATTTTATAAAATTGTATGAAATTGAGGTTATATCCTCTTACCTGAAGTACAAAAGGAGACTTAACAATATGTGGTTTAATTATTGCCAAAGTTAACTGAAGAGGCTTTTGTGATTGCATGTTAACATAATTTAATTACCTACCATTTTTGTAAAAATTGAAAATTCTCATAGTGCATTAAAAATAACTTCAAACTTTTTGCTTTAAAAATATCATATATAGTCAACTCATATAAGAAACAAAATTCCAAAAATACATAAATTGTATAGATTGTTATTTATTTGTTACATATGCTAATTGCATGTATATACATGTATATTGATTAATTTAAATAAACATACAATTTATATGTTTAATTAATCATATAATTTTATTTGCAAATTAAATCTTAAAATAATATTAACAATATAAATAATTCTTTACTTGATATTATTAAACTGAATTACCGTATATACAGAGTGAGTTAATAAGATCTGCTATTTGAAATATTTTGTTACCTATTAATTTTATCAAAAAGTTCTTTAATACGAAATATACTGTATTCGAAGAAAGGGAGAAGTATAATTATATTGAATATTGAATAAATATATTTTAGTTTTATTACATTATATATTTTCAAATATATCAAGGTACACTGTAAAATTTTTAAATAACATTACATTTCTTTTTTTTTTATTTAATGTTATATTGTAACCAAGTAAAAAATGAATTCAATGATTTATAATAAGATGACATTGAGTTGACCTTAAGGTTTAAAGTTATATAAATGTACTGAAAGTAATTGTATCACTTATTTTCAAAGATATTGTTAAATAAATATAAACTAGTTTGTAACAGGCTAGCAGCATTTAATCAAGTCTCTTAATTCTCGAATTAGAATACATAATTTACAAATAATACAAGGTGATTCGCTCGCTAGTGGGCTCGAAGTTATCGTTATTTAATACTGCTGAATATTGCAGCATGAGCCCTGTGTCCTCATACGATAATCTGACTAATGTGTTTAGAGATTAAATTTGGCTGTGTATATGTGTGAGACGTAAAGTTTCAAGCGTAAGTAAGGTTTTCTAAATAGGCGGTACTGCCTTTGAGCCCACTTGCGAGCAAATCATCCTGTACATACATCTTTGTAACGATGATGATTGTTAAAATAATTTTCGCGAGTAGAGATTTACTTAATATGAATTTGAAAAAGAAATCTGTTTTAAAACGAAGCTGGAGATATACAAACATATATACCTGAATGTGAGAAGGCAAGAACAAGTTTTTGTTACTACTTTTGTTTTATTCTTTAGATAATGAAACATATTTCTGCATTTAATAATTTTATTTTATCAGAACTAACTTTACATTATTCCAAATTCTACTTTCACTTTTATACTTTTTAATATTTCGTATGAACGTACATTTTTTATCTATAATATTTCCAATTTCTTTATATGACTTCTTTCTTTCAGTGAGAAATAACTAAATTATATACATATATTGAATTTGCTCTTTTATTCCTTTTTATAACATGGCAAAATGGCACGTTATTAAAATATCTTTCCGATTGGATTTTAATTGCTGACAGATATTTATGCTATAATATAATATTTAACGAATGTATGATGTCAAAAAGAAAAATATGAATAGGATACAGTTCACCAATTTCTATGATTTTTTAATACGTTGTAGAAATCAGCACTTTGAATAACTTGTTACCCTTGCTTAGCTTCAATTTCTAAAATATTTGTAAAAAACTTTTGTTTCTAGTTTACTATTATTTTCTACTAGTCTACATTAGTCTGCTGTTACTTATATAGTATAGATACAGGTCCGAGGCTGAGTGGGCAGCCACTTTAAATTAACTCATTTTTTTCGGCTTTTTAAAAAGACATTGTACTTTATTATAACAAAAAAAAAAAGAAAAATATTTTTTAACAAATAACAAAATTTGAAAAAGCTGTCGAATGCGTGATCCGATCCCGCTGATATTGTTATAGTGGTTAAAATTTGAAACTACTTTTATTTGAATTAATTACTACTCGGCCTCAGTTTTTGAGATATTTGCAAAAATTGTTGGTATTACTATACTAAACTCTGTTTGTACGTGTGTTGTGATACAGGGTTTAGAAGGAATCATTATTCTTCTAGTATATATAACGAGTGGACAAAATTGATTGAATGTAAAAGAAAACATAATAAGACTTTCCGACATAATTTTCACCTGCTTATTTGTTCATATTTCTAATACGTGAAATTTTTTTTTTAATAAAGTTCCAAAGAGCTAGCTTGACCGATCGAAAAGGAATTTGACGGGAAGGAAGAAGTGTGAAAATGAATTCCAAAATTAAAAATTTCACCACCAAGAATTTAATATCTTTTATGATATCAATAAAAAGTTTTTGGTAAAATACATCGATTTCCCTCATCGATACTTCTAAAAGCTTTCTCGATTCGTCACTAGCGCCAATTATAAACATAACCTCCTTTTTTACAAAATAGTGAAAATTGTTGAAATTATACGACTAAATATACGGTCAGGTTTAAGAAACTGGTTCAAACATCTGACATGACAACAGCTATTTCGCTCATGAAAAACAAAAAATCAAAAAGTATTTTGATTAATAAGGATACAATTATGATTCGAATTATAGAAAAGATGAAGTTACTAAATTTAAAAGTGACAAGACTTTGAAGTTTAAATACCGATTTTCTCTTGTTTTTTTATCTTTCAAATTAAAAAAAATAAATAAAAGTATATCGTTTAGGAGGATTGACTGCCTCTTTTGAGTAATCGGGAGCTCACTTTTTATATTTGAGCCGCCGATCATCTTTTGTCTTTGCTAAGGGCATACGCCGCGGAATGTTCTCCATGGTTCTGGTCTTTCCAGAATCTCGATCCACGACACGCGCACCCGCGTCTTGGCATGTATGCCCGATCGTCCTTTTTCTTTGTTGGGGGTACGCGTCGCGGAACGCTCTCGATTGTTCTGATCTTTCTAGAACCGCAATCCGCGACACGTACTGTGCATGATTTGTGACTGGCCATCGAACGCTCTCGGTCTTTCGAGGTCGCTACAATCGGATTTTAAAGTCCGTATTTTCAATTATAAAGGTATATCTGTTGAAGATTTGGTTCAAATTTGAAGTTAATCGGTCGATTAAAATTTGAAGTATCGTATCAGGCATCATACAGCCAGTACAAATAATCTGTGTAACGAAATGATGCATATACATTGTATGTATGTTTTATGTGCATACCTTCTCATACTTAATCTATTATTTCACTAAGCATCACAATAGCCATGATTAATTGAAATAGTGTCGCCGACACTTTCGTTTCGCAGTTTCTCATTTGAGATATCCGTGCTTGGACGTTTATAACTTCGTTGATTTTTCGAATTTCATCAAATGGCTTTGCATATTATATTTTTGCATATATCAATTTTAAGAAACTGTAAAAAAAAAGAATTTTTTGATCCGGATGTGTAGAAGACCCTCTTAAAATTTTACTTTACGATATTAACTTTATTAGAAAGAGATATATTTTTAGTAACTGCAAAAATAAAAAATCTGAAACAAGATATTTTGACCTCTTTGAGATTTTTACTGTTGATAATACGATGTACTAAATACTCTTCATTATTTATAATAATTATGTTATTACACGCAAACTTTCACGCTATTGTGAAAATTTGTCCACTATTATATTATATATTTCTTTCACTTACATATTTCTCAGATCAATTTGTAAGAAATAAACTTTTTTCTTGAGTACTAAACCGCTATCATTCTTCCGAGATTCCTAAAATTTTATATAATTGGACTATAATTATCATTGGAAATAGTACCATGACTATTAAGTGCTTATGGTTATCAATACGTTAATATTTTAGCTCCATTGAGTTACATATCGATTTAAATACATTCGAAGAACCACCTGCTTACATAAAGTAACTATACCTTGATGCTAACTCTTGTTTTTTAATGTTACTATTTGTCGCGTAGTGTTTTTTTAAAAACAATTTGACTTACGATTAAATATATGTATGCTGATGTCTTAACCCTTTCGCTACGGGCGGACTCTCCGCCGCAGTACTCCCGCAGAACGAGCCGCTGCGTCGAAACTGTGCACGGTGCGCAAGACCGATCGTCAGAGGCATTTGGTTTGCTGAGTATTGAGGTCCGTAATAAACAAATAATGCTAAACAAAATACTCACGCTGCATGTCCAGAGTGAGATGGTTGATGTGCAATAACTGCAGATGCTCGTCGTATGTACAATACGTGGCATTTTATGGAGAGCAACTATAGTCGCCCGTAGTACGTCAGTGGCATCTTATGGAGAGCGACTATAGTCGCCTGTAGTTGCGAAAGGGTTAATATTCCCAAAGTTCCAATTATCTATCAATTTGTATAATGAGTAGCTCATATTTTCTTCTCGTGCGCTTCTAGTGCGTATTTTTCAGAGAAGTATAAGGACGGTTTGATTAGTGATGTTAAGGGTTTAAGTTAGGTTTTTCGTTAGGAGAGATTTGACTAATAAAAATATGAATTTATCTAATAAGTATTTTAAATTTGACACTTTATTTATCGAATCATACAACGAATTGACTCTTTGGAAATTTTTGATTCACGATACATTTATAATATATGCAATAAAATCCTAAACATCTTCGCCACGGTGTAATGTATACACATGTTAACTATAAAAGAGAATTTTTAATTAAAACATCACTTCTTCTTGTAATCATATCATAAATAATGTCATAGATCAATATCGATGATTGGACAAATATAAAGCTGTAGCTTAGTGATCGAATAACGACGTCATATAATGCTAAACAAAGTTTATTTAATTATATACAGGATGCACTTCATTTGTATCCATTATTGCAAATTATCTACAAATTACTTGTTGCTCGAAGAATTTGTCCAAATGAAGTTTATTCTATAGGTGGATCTATAAAGAATATATGAAGGTCATCAATATTTTTTATATTTTACAATACACTCAAAAAATCACATATTTTATAATATACTTATAATCACGGTAGTTCAATCAATTTCTTTCATTTTTAATTGAATATATAATTATTAACATATTAAAGAATACAGTATTTTACTATAGTATTCTTCTGTAGAGAATGATTCAATTTTTCAATTCATTTTCATATCAATTTATTATTTTTTATTAATTTTTTAGCCATAAATGCATATATACAAAGTGAATCTAATCTGTTCTTAGTTTAAATTTGATGTGAAAGTATTGGATATAAGATTTTACACGAATAGATATAGCTTTATAGCTCAGCCTTGTAGAGATTTGATGCCAAATTTAGTCATGTAATCAAATTATTTATTGGATTAATTCTATTTCATGTAAATTAGAAACAAAATTAGAGATCTGTTTATGTATTCAATGTAATTAGCATAAGAAAAAATGATCATACTTTTTGCTTAAGTTTAAAAGAAAGAAAATATACTGCTTAGAAAATTCTAAGTTTAACTATTATAATTCATAACAAATTAGTAGCATTTGGTAAGACATGTATAATTTTTTAAAAATATTCTACTTTTTGATAATACATAATTTTATGTACTAAAGACGTTAAAAATTTCATTAAGATTTTTTTTTATCCATATTTACCGTAGATTTTATATATTTTATGATTGCATGTGTATATTTATTTTTAACTTTCAATCACTCGAAAAGTGATACTAAACACTCCGACGAGTAAAGCGGTCAACATTTCATGGATACCATTCGTACCAATACCAATTCGTACAAACCAAATCTTTGAATAATCATTAAATATGTAAGACTACAATTTCGAATAAATAACATGATACGAAATCAATTTGAGAACCACTAGATTGCTTTTTTCTAATCTTCTTTGTCATAATATCTAGGTTATTGCGAACTTTTTCTTTCACCTATGTTTTCAATCGTAAGATTCTCCATATATAAGGCATTATTACATAGATAAAACATTATGTGTTGTATAGTTGTTTCTGATGATAGCAAGAATAAGGGTAGAAATATAAATGTTCTGATTTTCAAGAAGATATAAAATTTGTTATATACATTACAGAGAAAATATTATGAAATAGATTTGGATTCGAATTTTGCATATTTTCGGAGAAATATGTGATTATTTAAAGCAATGTAAATGTTCTATTAAATGAGATCTTTTATTAAAAATTGATGAGTACAATTATTCATGCGTATTGTATAATTATTATTAGCACATTTTGTTATCTGCGGTTAGAAAATGAACGACAATTTGCACCCTCCATTATGAACTGCCGAGAAGCAGAGATGCAAATTTGTGTCTTCAGTTAACGTATTAAAATATTTTGTAGATATAAAAAGTATGAATATTATTTAATACTATATGACACAAATCAAATTTTGAAACTTTCAATCAGAGAGCTTACCATATTCGAAGTTACGGTGAAGTAATTGGTTGAAATTTTTCTATCACTAGATGGAGAGGGAATCATGGGGATCGCGTTGCTTGGCAACATGACGCGAAGATGTAACACAATGTGACATTAACCGCTAGATCATAACATAATTATAGCAGAAATCTAATATTATTCATATCAGATATTGGAATGAATATCATCATTAACATGATATAATGATACAATATAATTATAATAAATGTATACTATGCACATATACAAATATAATATAATATGTACAATACATATATACAAATATACTATATAAAATACATATATACAAATATAATACAATGTATACAATACAAATATACCAAACTGTATTAACTGTTAGTATCAGTATTACTTGTATTTGGAATATCTGATAAAAAAATATCTTGTAAATTTTCTGATATACAAGGTCTCTCATACATTGTGTTATTAAATAATTTTAACATGTCCTCAGGTACTTCATAGGTAACGCACGTTTGATCTTTATTATTTAAATCCAACTTAATTCTAGTTAATGCATATACTGTTTCTGGTTTTAATCTATTCCCACCTCTTATTTTGATTTCATTAACAAATGAAAAGAATTTTTCTACAACTTCATTTGAATGCGGTAGAGACAAACACAATTCTGCAACCTTAAAAATATTTATGTATAAAAGATTTCCATTTAAATTTGTTATTTTGGTTATTTTGTCCCAAAATTGTAAAATGTCTAATTCCAATGAAGAAGTTGGCAGTAACTGCCATTCATTTATAACAGCTTCTTTTATAAACTTTGTTGGAAATTTATTTAAAATAGGTTGCATGTAATTCTTTCTATGCTTAGATATATATAGTGCTATTTCTGATTGTAAAAATTGTAGGGCACATAAAAATTCCTCTTTGAAAAGTAGTTTTTAGACTGCTTCTTTGAATGTGTTTATGTAAAATTTTTGAATATTGGTATAAAATTCTGTTACTCCAGTTTCATTTCCAGATCTGTTTTTTAATTCCTAAATTATTTCTATAGCTGTTTGTCCAATCAAAATCTCTTACAATGGGAGTAAATTATTTTCGTCAACATCAATTTCATGAATATTTTCCATATTCTTAGTGTATTCGCTTCTTAAAAAATTACCATCTAATTTTTTAATGAATATATGACATTCAGGCATAAGTTGGCATACAAACACTCCTGAACCTTGGAACACAAAATTGAATGTACAAAATATGTCCAAAACATAATTTAAAAATTGCAATTAGCTAGCATATATGGATTGTTAAAATTTTCAAATTTTATTGACACAGAAGTGAAGTTATAAGTATATGTTTCTATAGAAATGCTGAATAGGGTGTGCCACTGATTCAGAATGTGTTGAATGCACTCTGGTAGTGCTAACCACTTAGTAGGACATGATTGAATTATTTTTTTCTGTATAGCATTTATAATTTTTTCTACATTTGTCAGAATGTCCTGTCTTTTGGAATTTTTGGAAAAATGATTACATAGTAGGTGTAAAAAATCACCTATATTAGAAGACAAATATTTACATGCATGGGATATTACTAAATACATGGAATAGCAAATGCAAGGAAAAACAGCAACCTCTTTATGTGTTGCTAATAATCTTGATACTACTGAATTGGGCCTTTTTAACATTACATTTGCATTGTCTACAGATATTCCTATAATATTATTGAACGATAAATTATGTTTCTCTAAGGAATGTAGGAAACATTGAAATAAATTGTCTGGTTTCCTTCTTTTATTTGCATATAGTCAAGTAAAAATGTTTGAATATTACTGTCGTGTACGCATCTTGCTAAAATATGTAAATTTTTTTTTCTGTCCTTTCATTTAACAGTATAGAAAAATATTTGCTTTGCAATAATGTCACAGTATTTCTTTTTATACGTTTATTAATTACATTTTTTATTATAGCTGAAATCTTACTTCTCCTTAATTTAATTTCTTGTAAAATTATTAAATCTGGTAATACAATTTTATTCAAAGCTACAAAATGACTTTGTAAATTAAAATTAAGATTGTGTTCTGCTATAGCTATGGAATATCGTATGTTTGGAAGTTCCTGCTTCTTTTTCCTCTTCTGATTCTCTTAGAGTCATGTTTCCCTTATGTACTGTAGTTAGTATATGAGCTTCCAAAATACTCCTATGGGCTAAGAAGTTTTGATTACATACTTTTCACCTAGCTAAGTATACATCCTTAGATTTTTCTAGCCACGAAGCAAAATGTGCTTCTTCAAGCCAGGTATCTCGAAATGATTGTTTCCTAAAAATTTTCTTACAACGAGGAGAGGACGTATTGTTATCACTGCCTATTAATACAAAATTTGTTGTTCATAAATTTACTACATATCAATTTGAGAGATTAATCTAACGAATATACTCAGTTATATAATATTCATAAAAGAAATATTTCTATTTTTTAAGGAATGATAATTTTTTACATTTATTCATGCAACAGTATTAAATATTTGTTTACTTCGGTCGATACAACTTCATGAAAATCATAAATCATAAAAATAGATCAAAATAAATTGTTTTCCAAAAGTTTTTTCAGTCACTTTCTCACTTTTTAGCTTAACTTAACCACATTATTACACAAAATTAAATACAAATGGCGCGATATTGCCATCAACCACGTGTCACCGCGTTCCGTTTCTAAGCGACGCGATCCCCACCTGATAGAATGATTCCCTCTCTACTACTCCTGCTTCAAAGCGTTAAAATTGGCGTTAAAAGTGAGTCAGAACGTAGTATCAACTTTGGTAATCCAGATGATTAGTTTCTTTCTAAATATACCTGTTTCTTACGATTGACAACAGCTTTTAGAGACTAAACAACACACAGTGGTCCCGATATGTAATTTATTTGTTTACAGTCACTAAGTATGATAATTTTTAAATCTAGAACAAGGTTATTTTTCTCTGCACAAATTCTTCTTTAAAAAAAATAGTATTTAGAATTTTTGAATTTCTCTAACGCGTTCTAGGGTTAAAAATACAGTTCTATTATTTTCTGATTGCATTTTAGCTAATTAGCATATCTTCGATGCTTTAAATTATATTTTATCAATATCTTTTTGAATGATTGTACCCCTTTTGAATTGAATGTAGCCCTATGTAGTCATATGTCATAATATATGGTGACACACTTAAATCGACACAATTCAATATCTTTGAATATTAAAAATATTTCAGATAAATTGTAAATGTATAAAGGACATATGCAGCACAATCCTGTTTTCTTAAACAGAACTGTATATTTCTTAATACAGTAATTCGTACAACTTGTTATTCCCCCAAAAACTTATAGGTATTTAGAGCGAAATATCATTACCGTACAAGATATTTAACATTTAATATTCAGTAATAATACTACAAATAATAATGCGTATTAGCTGATGCAAATACATGTAATGTTGCTACACGATATTAAAATTAAAAATCTCTTAAATCAATAATTCTTTTCACATCAAATTACACATCCTATTAAATAATTTAACTTTCGTTTGAAATTTTTAATATTAAAATTTTTAAAAATATTCCATTGTATCTATTTGGTTACACTGCATAAATAACATTTATATTGATATCTTATTATTTTTTTAGTTCATAAATTTTCGATATTTAAGATTACTGAAAATAGTTCTATCTCAAGAATTAAAAAATATAATTTTGCAATTAGTTATTCATAACAAGTTCATGTGTCATATATGAGCAATATCAAAGATTGTCTGAAATCTTAAGGATTAACGATGCAACGTACTAATTTTGATTACTAATAATACGTTTTGTTTGGGTAATTTTCACAAAAATAGAAACATATTGCAATTAAGAAAGCATTTATTTATAATTTAGTTCGAATTAATAACTCATATAATCAACGTATAAATATCGAAAAACTTATACGTTTACTTAAATTCGCATTCTCCGCTTTATTTCTCACTATTTTAACTATTCCTTTTTTTCAGCAAAGATTGGTACATATCGCTGTTACAATATCATTTAAACTTTCTTAAAAGAGTAACGTTATTAGAAATAAATATTATTAAAAAATGATTCAATACTATTACAATTTTAGCCACTATTTATTTATTTTTTTCGAAAGAAGACGTTATATCGTAGCATAAGACAATACACTCTTCCGTTTTGCATTAATTCATTTGTTGTAAAGCAAAAGAAATCGATATTAAAACTAATTTTGCAATTAAGGATTCTTTCTAATTCTAATTTCTATTTGAATATTCAATCACACTCAGGCACGCAATAACTTCTTATAATAATACCAGAATATCCTAACAAGTGATTACAAAATTATAAAAAAATTATTTTAAACTATAATAAATTAAAAAATATGATATGATGTAAGAAAAATTTAAATTCATGTATACACTTGCTCCTCGCATGCTTTTCATACGAATCACATTTACAATAATTTTACCCTAACTAAACGAAAGTACAGAACTAAATAAAACGTGTATAAAAATATATTTACAATATTCTCGGCAGAATGGTTGCTTATATTTTGCCTTGATATAAAATAAACTTACGTTACAATAATACTGGTAATCACACTATGAACAATTTTTTCAATTATAATTTCATTAATTCTCATAGAATTCTGTAAGAAATTATCAATTAACCAGGAAAGTGTATGAATAATCCAATAGTATGATTTAATTATTGAATATAAGAAACATTTAATTCTATGACGCAAAGTCCGGTAACAAATACTATTGGATACTGACATAACACGCGTGAAATAATTAAATATATACTAATTAAAATAAATCGTTAATTTAGAAAATTCATGCTAATTCAAAAGCGAGAATATTCTATAATTTCCTTCGATATTCCAATATTTACAATACCCACTATCGTAACTATTTTTTATTTACAGAGAAAGAGACAAAAAGCAGTGGATTATTTACGCACTCACTGACAACGCAATTTAGAAAGTGTTGCGAAGAATTCGTAAATTCATTAATCTCATTACCTAGTCGCCAGCGAAGGGATTCTATTTTTCTCTCGATTTATTGAACGTAGTTAGTGTGATCAACGATTGACTTTCGCCTACAAGGCCTCCTTGATCTAGTAAATCCATAGTTAGTTGGAGATTCTACAGACCTATCCGAATATCCTGAATCTATGATTACGGTCTCATCAATTCTAAATAACTTCCTAGAGATGTCGTTAGTTTCCTTGAAGGTGGTTCCCCAAGATGTAGACTGCGCATCTTCTACTTCACTCTCGCTTATGATGGGACTTATGCAAGGTGACTGTGCATTGGTGGACAACCTGGACATCATGCTTAATATCGAACTACTTCTTGGTAGCTTACACCTGGATACGGGTATCCAATAAACCGAATCGTCATCCTGCTCGTTGTCCACCTTCTTCGTCACCAAACTGTCATAAGCAAATTTCTGGTCATCGTCATTTTTCGGGCTTGGTGGTCCTAGATCTGAGTCACTGTTACTGTCTGTGTCTTTGGGAGATGCTGATGTAATGCTGACTTTCGTTTCTGACTCGCTGAAGCTGCCTTCTTCGCTTACAGAAGTTCTCTCTGACAGCGAATTTTCGACCTCGGTAGTATCTTCCTTCTCCAAGGCTCTGACTAGCTGCTTCACGAAGTTCTGGTTGATTCCAACGTTTCTGTTTTCACGTCGAAGCGATGGTTTGCTCAGTTTCTCCATCAAAGTTTCGATAATTCCACGTACAAGGCTCTTTTCATGCTGAGGTTGTTTGCTCTTTACCACGTTTTCCAGCTCCATGGACTTCCTCTTTGAGTTCAGGAACTTGCTGTATGGCGACTGACTTTTCCTTTCTTCAGCAAAGAAGTTCAAAATCTTTTTGTTGAAATTAGATTTCTTTCCGTCGATAGTAACAGGCGATTCTTTGGCATCGATGTGGACCTCTTTTTCCCGAATACTATTAGATTTTTTAGAAACCTCTATCTTCTTCACCATGTCACGAACCGTAGAAAAGGTTCTTGGTACAGATAAATTTACATCAGTCTTTTCGAACATAATTGGATCAATCGATCGTATATTTTTCTTCTTGGCTTCCAGTGGAGTTTTCTTACAAGCAAGAGAATTATTTTCCACTTTTGAACTTGCTTCGAATATGAATGCTTTTTCCAAAACATTCTGAGACAACCTTCTTCTAGACCTTGAAGTGCTTTCAAATTCGCTTGCGGTGTTATCCGACAGATTTGTCGATCTGGAAATGTTTTCGAAGAAGGACGATTTCTCCAGGATGTTTTTGGAAGGGATGTTTTTCATTATTGGACTCTCCTCTAAGATGGAAGATGAGAAGAAATTAGCGGGAGAGAACTTCGGGGTAGACGTAGTACGAATTTGAAAACTTGTTTCCACGAGTGGAGTTCTTGGAAAAATTGGCCAGATTTCTGACTCTAGCATATCCTTCTCATTTTGCGTACTTTCCATGGTAATATTGTAATCGTTCGAAGTACTGTCAGTTGTTACATTTGCGTCAATTGGTTGATTCTGTACAACGAAAGTTTTATTCATGACATCATTATTATACTCGTCGTCCTCAAGATTCTTGGAAAACTCAATTCTCGGGTTCGGCGGGAAGACGAGATTTATGTTCTGTATTTTCCTAGAAGGCGACATTTTGGGAAAAGTCTTGGAGATATTTTTTGGAAGCTTCACCATCGGGATACTCGTATCGAATACTTCATCCTTAACTGAACATGTCGCTGCAGATGTTTTGAGTCTTGTGTCCTTTTTGCTTCTTGGTGTAGCCTCTTTTTTCGTTTTTTTGTCGACTGATGTGTCTGAAATAGACACAAGGATATAAGATATTTGACATAATTCCTTATCCATAATTAAATAATACACGCTATTGGGTGAAGAGTAATAATTTAAATTGTATTAAATATATTAAATGTAAATAAAATATTTAAAAATGTCGCAATTGTTTTGGTTTATAATTTTGTTACATTGTGATTTTTTTGTATTTATAGTATATCTCAATAAGTGGAAGCTTAATAATTAATAATTCTTTTAATTTATAATTTACATTACATATGTGGGGCGACAAGTGTGCGTATGAATGTGTGAAATGTGCGTATCCTAATTAATTTCCTAATTAATTTCCCAAGAAAAATGGCGTGTCCTAACAATATCTCGTTTTCCAAGGAGAAATGCAAATCCTGCTGACTCGCATAAAATTCAACCGACGCTATTATTCTCCACGACTTCTCTAAGTTCGCACGACATTATGATATTTTCATCGACAAAATGACTTTGATTTCACAATAAGAGTCTGTCTGTCTGGATCTTGGGACAGTGGCAAGAAAGCGATTATGGCAGCGAAGCACATCGTGCGGTATTTAGTTATAACGTTTTATACCAGTTACTGTATTCTTAATCGATGACTCTTTTCTTTAAAATGTACGTCTGTATATCACTAATTATTCCTATATATATATATATATATATATAAATTAATAATTTTTCCTAATATTTATTTTTAGCGTTCGATAGATTCTAAGAAAACATCTTTGTATAGATTCTAGTTTCGAAAATATAGTTAACGCGGTTCAGACTGACATTTAATTGTTACAAATGTGTTATATCTGATAAAACCTAACTATTTTACTAAATATCGTCTATGGATAAACTTTCCAAGAAATTTAGCTTTACCGATTTAAATTGAGAAGTTTAAAATGTTTTATCTTCATAAATATAGGATATCGATACGTACCTAATGAATTAAAAGATGTCATATTTAAAGCAGAGTCCATTCGAGGCGTAGCATTCTTCCAGGTTGGCGGACGAGACTCTATCGGCGTGGTATTTATCAGTTTGGGTGGATTTGAACGTTTGTTCAAGTACCAGTCCGGGATGGAAAGCTTCTGAAGAGATCGTTGGACCTTCAATTCCGCTTCCGTGAGTGGTCTCTCCTATTGCAAGATAACAAAATTTGTTTATAATAAAATATCATTTAAGAAAAAGATAAGAAAGTACTATGTTGAATAAAATGTTTACATCGAGATAATCGATGCAAGATCGATTCCCTTCAAATAGATAATACTTCCAACTTACGTATTTGTCATCAGAATGCAACATGTTGTTCCTGATCCACGTCACCGTCAGAGTCATCTTTATTAATAATTATCACCGAAGTAAATAAATCAAAGATAAACGAGAGAGATCGGAAAACGGAGAAGTAAATTTCTATCACGATCAATTCTATTTGTCAAAGTTTAGGTTGACACCTTTGCCGCACTTGATTTGTAAATAGTGTCGTCGCACTATCAACGTTATACGTGTAATGTAAATGAGCGTGATTCGGTCTAATAACGAGACAAATACAGACTTCCGTAAACACCTTGTCGCAAATGAGCTTCGAACCCCTGCGGACCTGGTAATATATTCGCACCCGAATTGGGATATCCCTACTTTTGGCGTTGCGAGAGGTGGAAATAGAAAATCGGGGATTCCTACTTTTCGGTACAATATTTGACAGTGCGCGGGGTGCAAGGGGCACTACCCCGACGAGGGCTGCAAATCTCTAGCTAAAGATTTTATTGCCTCTTCAGGGGGAGGATTAAATTACTACTTGAAGTAGATTGTTGGTAAATTTTAGGCAGGTAGTTTTACCCGAGTTTATTCTATTTTATGAAAGTCACGGTAAGTACTGTTGGAATAGTTGTCCTATAAGCTATTCTCGAATATTCAAATATTGTTTCAATATTCATATAAATATTAACATTAATGAAAATATTAATTTCATTATGAATATGATTGGCAGAGCAATAATCATTTTTTTTAAAACTTATGTTAATAGAAAAGATATGATTAAAATTGAAATAAATTAGAAAATTATTATTTATAGTAACGCTATGTTTGTACTGCAAATTGTAATCCAGTCTTGAAAGGGCAAACGGAAAACAAAGAAATATCTACACATAATAATTTTATTATATTCATGGATATTGTGCATCTTTGTAATTACATAATGAGAATGATAGCATATAATGAGAGCGACCTGCATGAATTAATACAATTTCGTGTTAATAATTGTATTAATATTCAATTTTAATTTCTATATATACTGTCGTGCTTATGTAATATCTGGTTTAAAATAGTACGCGAAAAATGATAATAAATAATACTAATTGAAAAATTCACAGTACGTAGCGAATAATTGGTATTACCTCCCATCGCGATTTTTGTTTTCACAATACGTATTGGGTGATTATTATAAAGTTACTGGTCCTAGATAAGAATTTTTAAACAGAATTGTTGTGTCGTTACGAGTTTTCGAAAATATCGAATTTTCGTAAAAGCTGCCTATTTTTAGCAAAAACTATCGCGTGAAAAGTATTGCGTGGAAACTAGAAACGTTAGAAAGCAGTAATTGGTCGCAAGTGACAGAGGAGATGTCTATTATCATAATATTTTGAAACTTTAAACGATCATAAATAGGCATTGAAATTCAAAAAAATAGCGATGTACGTAGTTACTAAGAAATATTTTTATATTTCTACGAAATGTTATTAATCGTGCACGAATTTCTTGTAGCAGTATTGGATTTTGTAGCCATTTTTAATGAAGTCGACCAGAATTGCCGAAGCGTTTTTGAATTCTCACTAATTAAGAAATTATCTATCCGAGACACTAGTATGGGCCTTTGGCGGTAAGCGGCCATCGTTCCATTGTTTCGCGTAAGCAGTGCCGTAGCTATGCTCAATCGACATATCTAATAGGCAATATATGCTTAGTTAATACATATAATAATGATATATATTTTTAATGCATTTTTGTATACAGTAATCGTGCAATTATTACTTATTAAGAATCTTATTAAAAACCTGTAGGAAAACACTGGCTATATAAATTAGTGTTTCCAAAAATTTCAAAATTTCAATACATTTCAAAATTGCACCTCGAATAATTAGTTAATTTCCATTTAAGATAATACATAATAGATTAATTTTGTTCTCATACGAAATATGGTATAATAATATAAATATAATAATTATGAAAAACTACGCATTGAGAAATCATTTAATTTTAATTAACCATCTATATACACTTCGTCCACATCTACATGTATCTACATTTCGTTTATGTATATATCTGTTTCGTCTAGAACAAAATTATGAAAGTTTTCAAACCTTAAACAAATCTTGCACATGTTAAAACGTGCCAAATATAATTTCAGTCTAATGCGATAGTAATTCATCTTAATGAGGTTAGCATGAAAAAGTAGATTACAACGAGGTACACTGGATTTTATAGCGTAAAGGGTAAGCTGATAAATAAGGGAATATCATAAAGATCGTAGATGTTGCAACTGTCTCGTTTCAAATGTATAGGTGAAAATAGTATACAATGAGTAGCCAGTCGCTTAATCGACGACTGCAGATCTTTATAGTCTTACCTTTATTTTCGTTATACGATCGGCTATTTGACAACGTTCACTTACCACTATAGCAAAGATTTGTTAAGCAGCAATGTCTATATCAAGAATGGTCTCTTCACTGACAAATAATTTTATATTTTTATATTTTTATACTTATATATTTTATATTTTTAAATAAATTCGTGAATTTATAAATATATAGGATTT